ACTTAATCTTAGAAAACATGGCTCCTTGCTTTTTATATTGCAATTTTCACAATACTGGGCATCATGAAAACAAAGTGTAGTACCTCTTTGAAATATCTGTGAATAATATACTGTAAATAATGAAATATGTCATAAACTTACCATCTCGCTTATAATCCGTTAAAAAAAGTTGGCTGAGCTCTTAAAAATTGGCTAGAGTACACATTGTCGTTAGAGGCAAAAAAACTGTAAGTTCACAAAAAATCAAAATATCGCTAAGGTCTGATTGTATATAAAAATTTCGGAAAACCTTAAAATGTCTATCTCCAGTGATAATATTTTATCATTTATATGAGAAATATTTAGCTTCTGAGTATAGGTTTAGTATACTTTCCAGGTAAGAGTGGAGATAATTAATAATAAGGATCAGCTGATGTTTCAAAGTATGAATGGGGCATAACTAACACCAATATATTTTATAAGTGGCATTTACAGGCAATCACTCGTTTTACTAACGTACAAGTAGCAATGTGTTATTAACAACCTGGTAGGTATATATCTGCTCTATAGTTTTTCACCAAGCCTTATTCATTGTCTAGCGAAGGTCTTTTTGATGGTACTTTAAATACGAGTACTTATTTTTTTCATAATTTTACGCCGAACAAATATCAACACGTATAATTTTTGCATACAAGTTACGTTTAACTCATATTTGAAGTACTTTCGTAAGAATATAACTTCTAAACACTTATAATTTCTGTAATGTATGCAAATTCCTTTACTTCATACGATATATGTTCTAATTTACACTTTAATAAATGTTTGTCACAATAATGCTTCTGGGTTTGATGTTAGTATCCTTCGCTGCAGTTACTTTGCTCATTTTTATCTATCCATGTCAGTATAATTGTAGTTTCGGCAATGTTTGCGGCCTCGGTTAAAAAAAAGGTGAAGGTGAACTTTTGTTTTTTTCTATGGAAAGACCTCTTTTTGACATCGACATACGAAAGAATGGAAAATTCTGTGTCCGAATATGTCTTAAAATTTAAGATTAAGATCACCTCAGAAGGTCAAATGACGGTGAAACATGTCTAGGAGAGATCCCTAAAAGTTTTGCATGATTATTGATGAAGAAATCTTCTTTAGTAATCAGATTTCAATGAAGACCTTGGATTCAATGCTGATCCTTACCTTCAGTCATCTCAAAGTCAACTTTCTTTTAAACTGGCAACTCTCCTCTTTCCACTGCCATTGAAAATTCCACCTTATAATACTGTACTAGTATGACCTTGAACGTGAGATGCAAGGTCAAACCCAAGGTCAATATTACGCTTGTTAAAAGTTACTAATGGTCCTTGACGTTTTTTATCAATAATCCTGCTCAACCTCTCAGAAGTTTCCCTAACCTCGCTTATTTGATGTTTAGTGGCCTTGATCTGAGATTGTAATATGCAGTAATGGACAAAAGTATATAGACAAATTAATATTGTGCTGTATTTCTTTTTTAACTTGTTTTATTAATATAATATACATAATTCGTTATAGCATAATACTATACATAAATAAATTCATTAGACTCCCTTCAATAAAAAATTAATTGAAAGAAACTGGAACTATGAAGGACCATAATATACAGACAAAGCAAAACAATTATAGAAAAAAGAAGCAAAGTTCATTGAATTATAGAAAACCAACCATGTTTGTGTTAATCTTTTATAGCATAACCATTATTATCAATCACCGCCTGGCATCGTCTCGGCATAGATTGTAGAAGTTTCTTGATATAAGATTCATCAATCTGTTTCCACTTTTGCTCTAAAGCGGCAAAAAAATCATCCTTGTTTGAATAATATTTATCTCGTATTTGCTTATCTAAGTATTCCCATAGATTTTCAAAGGGGTTTATATCAGGAGACTGTGAAGGCCATTGTATTTTTTCATCCAGAAAGAATTTCTTTGCGAGATTTGAAGTCTGCTTCGGGTCATTGTCTTGCTGGAAGATTGATCTTAAGAGCATATTGTCGTCCATATAGGGTAACATGACATGCTTTAGTATGTCTGTGCATACAAACTTGTCCATAATGCCATCTATTCTATGTAAAGGTCCCATCCCAAACCCTGAAAAGCACCCCCAAATCATAACAGACCCGCCTCCATGTTTGACAGTGGACAAAGTGTACTTGGGGTTCAATCTTTGTTCACTAGGACGTCTAACGTAATGCACACCAAATTTTTGGCAATGTCGACTTGACGTTGACCATCTTTGTATAACTCAATGATCTTAGTTTTCACATCGAAAGAAATTTCTGTACCACGTGGCTTGGTCTTCAAATCACTCAACTTATTCCACAATACTTGATGAACACAAACTAATCCTCTTCTGACACGAAACTGTACTAAACTAATGTTGAAAAAAATTTGTCTGCATATTTTTGTCCCTCATAAAAAAGTGCTTATTTTCAGACTTGTATTGTGTTCATTGTAGATAATGTAAAAACAAGGAATTTACTTTTTCTACTAATAACGCATTTGTTTATGGAGCAATTAAGTATGAAATCGTTTTCTAAAGGTATTTAGGTAAATATTCATATTTGTCTATATACTTCTGTCCATTACTGTATATTCAGACGTAGCTTTCCGTTTTCTTTTCAATTGCCGGTGTCAAAAAGATGGCTTTCTATCTAAAAAACAAAAGTGGGCCTTAAGATAACCTTGAAGGTGAGGCTTAAGGTTAAATTCAAGGTCATCATTAAAATCCTCGTTCAAAGCTAGTAAAGACTTGATATTGGCCTTTTTCAAAAATACCTTAGCTGGAAAATTACAGACCTGTTCAGTTGACTTGACCACTAAAGAATGGCATCAGTCAGTTGCCATGTATTTCAAAAGTTTCAATAGCTTGGCTGCGTTTGCTGATGACCACGTCTACATGGATAGGCCCTAAAGCTGAAAATACGTTTGAGACGGAACTAGTAAGATTCAACAAATCAGGAACTTCCAAAAAAACCTTAGTGGTTGCTCAGCTTTCATTGGGCATGTTTATTACGTGAACACATGTAAATCAGTTTGTCATCGACCTTTGCTTTCACATTCAAAACATAATAAATGCAACTAGATGACCGAAAGACTTTGTGGAGATGTCGTGACTAGTTGGTCGGTAATACTTACGTAATAAGGGTGTGGAGCTTAAATCCAAAAACGATTGCACCAACATGATGACATCCTATATCTGCAGCGTTGTATGAATTGAAATAGATAAAATTGGGCAAAGTACGAATCCATAAACGGGCTATAGTTGACTTATTTGGTTTAAATCCTGGGATATGGAGTCGTACGTGGTGTCTCTGCTGGCAGCCAATGTATGGGTGGATTGGTTAAAATCTGTGCGCTACACTGTCGTGGTGAGTCTTTATTCGACTTTATTGCTTTTTAGTCCAGGAAAATGACGGACTACTCCTCAGATTAATTTCATTATATCACGAATGTATCGATAAAAAATCATTAAAAAGAGTACTTCTTGTTTTACCAAATAACATAATCCACAATGTTAAATAATTGTTATTTAAAGTTGAGATCATATACGATTATTCAAACATTCAGAAAAACATACCTTATTTTGTCCTTATTTTCCTGGGCTATTTTAGAATTTAACACACACAACACACCGTTTGGGAGTAGTAAATATTTTTCTTCCTCTTTCCTAGATTTAACATTTTGTGTTTGTGTATGTGTTAATGGTAGTACGGAACATTGTAGATATATTTGTTAATAATCACACAAAATAATTATTACTCCCTCCTAAACACCCAGCCAGTAGCTAAGATAATAGATAATATTAATTTTGCATCATTTCATATTGGGTTAGGTCGGTCAGTTTTTATCTGGTGATAGGTTGTAATCCATCGTTGATACCTGTAGTTGATTTAGGAACCATATTGGAAATAATATCCAGTCGAAGGTATTCAGTTAACAAACTTTGAAAAAATGAAGAACATTATACAGGGAAAACGAAATTTGTCTGACGGCTTGGGTTCAATGTGTACGAGAGAGAAGCGCGAACGCATGTTAGAAAGAAATAGAAGCCGGCTGAAGTTGCCTAGCAACGATGACGCAATTAAATCATTATTTCTGCGTAAAGAATAAACTAACGTATATTTTCAATATGCATCTTAATTCAAGTAACTGCAGCTTCTATCTCTTTCTATCATATGTGTCTATACGCACTTCTCTCTCGTATACAACGAACTCAAGCCGTCAGACAAACTTGGTTCTCACTGTATATTGGTTTCTTATGATAAGTTTAATTAATAAAAAGACAATACAATATAAAAAATTCGAAAAGTAGGTATAATGATATATAGAACTACAATTTACTTTCATAATCCAAATATCATAATCACAAGTCTGCATTATTTTTAGTATCATTATTTACAGTTACACGTCCATTTTTAGATAAAATACAATATATTTCCGGTAAATTATACATCAATCTATAACAACATTTGATTACGAATGCTCATGGAGAGATAATAAGTATATCTTTTTTTGAAACTATGCTCTGATAACGTAACCGTCACTGTTTCCATAATGTATAAGTGATTTCGAGGTTCATGTGAATTACAAATATTAGGACATCTTTCTCTATTATAAAATTAACACTCATTTCAAAAGTTACTCTACATACAATCAGTTACTGATCAACGAATTATTCGTGTTATAGATTCTTTTGAATAACAAACAATATCTACGGCTTTTATAATTACCGAAATAGCTACTAAAGAGGTTCTGTTCGGTATAAAATGAGATTACCTAGGTCTAATATAAGATTGACTCTAAATTCCATGGACATACAGCTACTTCAGGTAGTTGAAACATTTTAAATAAATCATACCGCACCTTCCACTAAGGCAACCCTATGTTCATGAAATTTTGAGAGAAGTATAGTTTCTCAACATGTAGGATAATTTTCCGTTGATCTTAGGGTAGTACCAAAAACAGGTAACAATTGTATTTTTGTAACCTAGGCGGCAATCAGCTGATTTCTCCAGCTGCGGCAGCCCCGGCGTTCGGCCCCCCACCACCAGGTACCACCTTCGGCGCTGTTCCACCGCCAAGCGCGCCTCCAACTGCAACATTCGCTCCGGTACAGATGGCGCCACCTGCAGCGGCCGTCGATCCAAGACAGTTCCTCCCGCCGCAGATCTTCTATTGGCCGTACCCGAGTCCCCCTGGCTCTCCAACTGGGTACTACCCGGCTCCGGCACCGGCAACTCACGTGCCGGGGCCTCCACCTGGAGCTCTTCCACCGCATTTCCAACAGCAGATGGTCCATACGCCGCTACCAATCCACGACCGGGTACTTGGTGTAAGTATCTGCCCTGTGATTTATAACAAAGCTTGCAGAATACAACAACGTTCGGTCATAGTCACCAGGGTCCGACCAAAGCTAAGACTTCGGCCAAAAAATCTACATTCGGCCAAAAAAGCAAGAACACGCACACACACCCGCACGAAAAGTTTTTGGAAAATATCGCGTGAGAAAGGAATCAAATCTGTAAAAAACGGCAACACTTAAAACAATAACACTGGACAACAAATTTTAGTTTTTTAATTGTATCTTGTGGGAAAAGTGCACTTCTTTGTTAATTTTGGGGCGCTGAATCCAAAACTGACAATGAAATAAAAAAATTAGTTGCGGTTTAGAAAAAAAACTTTTTATTTTTAGGGATATATTAAAAAAAAGTAACAAGATTCATATACTTATAAGAATCACTATATGCGCTGTCTTTTTGCTGTTCTTTTATGGATCGTTTCTGGAGCATCTCTACCAAAAGTCCAACAGTAGTCTGCAAGCATGGAAGGATTCCACTTTCCCTGGTACCTTTTTTCCATTGTTGAAATATCCTGGTGAAAACGTTCGCCGTGCTCATCACTTACGGCTTCGCAATTGTCAGGAAAAAAGTCCAGGTGTGAGTGTAGGAAATGTATCTTAAGAGACATATTACAGCCCATCTTTTGATACGATGACAGCATATTTTTGACAAGGGTTTTATAGTTGTCAGCTTTTCTATTTCCCAAGAAATTAATGACCACCAGACGGAAATCATTCCAAGCAGTTTTTTCAATACCTGTTAAAGTGTTTTCAAACTGTGTGTCTTTCAAAATATTTCGAATCTGTGGCCCAACAAAAATACCTTCTTTAACCTTTGCCTCACTTAGTCTTGGAAATTTCTGAAGCAGGTATTGAAAGGCTGACCCATCTCTATCTAGTGTTTTCAAACTGTGTATCTTTCAAAATATTTCGAATCTGTGGCCCAACAAAAATACCTTCTTTAACCTTTGCCTCACTTAGTCTTGGAAATTTCTGACGCAGGTATTGAAAAGCTGACCCATCTCTATCTAATGCCTTGACAAAGTTTTTCATTAGGCCCAACTTGATATGCAGTGGTGGTAATAAATTTTTTTTCGAATCTACTAATGGCATATGCTGTACATTTTTTTGACCTGGCTCTAGGAATTGACGAACAGGCCAGTTTTGTCTGGTGTAATGAAGTGCCTTTGCCCGATTGTCCCATTCACACAAAGAACAGCAAAACTTTGTGTAGCCTAGCTGCAGCCCAAGTAAAAGTGCAACAACTTTCAAATCGCGACAAATTTGCTATTGGTGCTCATCGTATTTTATGCAGGTCAATAGGTACTTCATATTGTCATATGATTCTTTCATGTGAACTGCATACCCTACAGGAAGAGATGGTAAAATATTTCCAATATGCAATAACACTGCCTTTAAACTCAATGTTGAACTGTCTATAAACAATCTCCATTCTTCTGGGTTATAGTTTATATTTAAAGCCGCCAGTCAGCCGTTAATGTTACTGCAGAAAACCAAGTTATTCTCCATATTGAAAAATGGTTCTAAGTCTTTGTGGCGTTTACGAAAAACACATACCGAAACATCGTCTTCTAACAAGTTCCACTGCTGCAGTCTTGAGCCAAGTAACTCTGCCTTACATTTTGGAAGTTCTAAATCTCTTACAAGATCCTTTAATTCTGACTGTGTTATTTTTTGCGGTTGGTGGCATGACGTGCTCGTATAAAATCAGGATCTCTTGACGTTGATGGCATATCTTCTTCCTGACGAATCACTCGATCGCCATGATCTGATTCGTTTTCTGATTCGCAAGTGTAGGATTCTGGGGGTTTTGGAATAGGATTTTCGTCACTGTGAGGCACAGGTCTCATCGCAGATGGTATGTTTGGGTAGTTAATAACCGATTTTTTTTTCTTGGACGTACCTGTGGCTTGTCCAACACAAGGTACCATGCAAAAGTAACAATCATTAATATGATTTGTAGGCTCTCTCCAAACCATTGGGACAGCAAAGCGCATAGGTACCGTTTTTTGCCATTTAACCAGCTCCTCAGACTTGAAGCACATGTATTACAGTAGATGTGGGGTGCCCACTGTTTGTCTTGATCACCTAGTTTACAACCGAAATAAAGCTGATATGCCTTTGTTATTAGTGGAGTAATAGACCGTCTCTGAGACGCAAAAGTCACATCACCACACACGTAACAAAACTGATCTGGATTGTTTACACACTTTCGAGACATCTTGCATGAACGCTGTCAGCCAACTGAGGAAAAAATGGCTAATATAAAACAATATAATGTACACGTATGTATAACGTAACACAATCATGCCGATTACATCATCTTTCCTTGCCGAATATAAAAAAGTAGCACGTGCATTCTTGTGAATTACAGTATATTAACACTGTCACAGCAGGAACACATATAATTACCGTATCTCTAAAACTTGAACTAATATTGAAAAAATAAGTTTCATTCCGGTTTTAGCACATTGAAAATAGTAATATTTTCTTGATTTTATTTAGGATATTTTTTGGCTGTTGATCAGTGTAATTATTTATGATCGAACTTTGGTGTACATCAGGCGTGGATGGATAGTTAATCCAAAATGTTCTTTTTTTAAGTCTTGTTTATTTTTTCAGCTGCCGGCAGACTGGTCCTTACCTCAGTTGCAACCAATACCAATTCTAGTAGAAGCAGCGTTGCACAGGCCTGATCCCGAGAAGACTGGTCAAAATATAGAGCCAAATCCTTGCGTTGAGATTCTCATTTAAATTGAGACAAACACTAGACATATTTTCTTTAGTCATATGCATCAGTTTGAATTTCTTGCGAACCATTTATTTCATTTATCGATTTTGAAAATGTACACTTTGCAATACAATACTGGTGCAATACATAGCTGAGCTAAAATAAATAACTGTATTCCAAAATCATTTAAATATAATTATTATATTGCTTGGTATTTTATGCTATGGAATGCCTATATTTATTTTGCTTTAGCCGTGACAAAAAATGGATCGTACTTGGAGACACAGTACTAAGTATAATATTTACATATCAAATTGTTATAGCTCATATAAACGTTGTATAAATCAGAGTTATATAGATAAAACTCCATCTTAATATATTTCAGATTAATATATTGATTTTAAAATAGTTAAAACTGTGTTTCTAGCATAATCTCCGTATTTAGATATTCAGTAAAATGCTGTTGGATTTGAAAATAATTATATTGGGGTAGGGTTATGACACAAATTGTTGAATAATGTGCGGGATTGCGAAAAAATGTATTTCAACTTGTAATTTTACATGCAAAACATTGCATAAAATGCAAGAATATTAACATTTCTGTCATTCCAATTTGAATACTTAGTGTCTTGAGGACTAGTGTTCGTAGACATTCCTATGTTGGCGGAGGGGACACCTGAAGGATCAGTGATGAAATATTTAAAATTATTATGAAACATGACAAACGGCAAAAGTTCCTATTTTTTATATTGTCAAATCCTCGGTCATTTTATGTGAGTCTTTGGATTATGTTTTGAACACGAGCAACTTCGAAGAAAGCTTGTTTTAATATTCATAAATCAATTTATTTAAATAGACTGCCAACTATGACAAAAATTGTAGAAAAACATATTCCTATGTATAATTTAAATATTTGTAACATATTACCGAGTCACTGGAGGTTTATGTTATTTGTTATTTTTCAATAGTATTTTTTCCATATCTACCGACCTATAAAATAGTTAAAAAAATATTCTTGACAATCAGTTTGTGCTTTGAAGCTTCTTGGACATCTCGGCAAGTTAGCTACCCTTCAGAGTTTTGTATTTCACTTAAAAGTATCCTAATTCATATTGAGAATTAGGTAAATCCAGAGCGAAATCTAAAAAATTATAGCTTCTGAAAAATGTCTTTTGTGGCGAAATCTCTTAAAACATTTCTGGAAAAGTATTCAAGGCCACGTAAATAATATTATTGTCTTGGCAGAAAAAAACGTTCATTTTTTGTTGGGAAACACTATCGTTATTATAATAGTAAACTAAGCTATATCTTCTAAAGCAAACGATAATCATATCAATCACATCAATATTGTTACTAATACGCCCTGAAAATGTTTTTCCAGAGATTCTTAATGAAATGTCGTCACCAAATATCGATACAATGCATTGTATCGCCCCTTCTAGTTATAAAGAAACAAATATTATAAGTGCGTAAACCAAAAAAATCGCTATTAAAAATTTTAAATCAGCAATTGCCGATGGGCATATCTGGTAAGAGAACAGACAACAAAATTTACTACGTCTTCCAATTAACATACTCCTTTTAGAGCCCTTTCTTTTTGAGGAATTTTAGGAGCTCTGTGTTATGTGATGTACAGATTAAATAGTTAAATAATTATTTTAGAGTGATTTATTTTTAAAAGAGTTGTGCGTTCGAAATGAGTGGTAAATGTGCAGATAGAGGAATTGTGTCAAATAGAAAAGGTCTGAATTGATCAAAGATATATTTGATAAGACATTGACTTTCAAGATACAAGACAAGGTATTTTTGTTGCAATAATGACTGATCAGTTTCCAAAAAATGCATGTTCCGTTTATTCATAATTTGAAGAGTTTATTAGAAATACTTGATTCTTCTGACTTTTCAACCGTACGTGGAATACGTGTACCAACCAAAAAAAAATGGGATTCACTATTTTGTACAAGCAGATAAATCTTATTTTCGAAAAAAAAAAACAGTGATGAATGCATGTGTAAAATGCCAGGCACAACTTCTAATCATGTTATCGAAAATGAACTTTATTCTTTATTAATTTGATATTAGAAAAAACCTGCTTTCAAGCACTATTTAATCTGAATTAAATTTGTGATGTAATTAATAGGAAATATTTTAGTATCTATATTCCTATATATATACAACGAAAAATATTTAAGCTACTGCAGGTATTAGTTGTCTTATTAATCGGAAAAAAGCTCAAAATCGTTAGTTATGTGCAATAATTTAAGAATTTTGCAGATAAGCATATTTTTTAGTGATTAGAGCATTTAGTCAGAATGACTAAAAATTATTTAATGTTGAGAATTTATAGAATTTAGATTATATACTGTACATCGGAATTGAGAAAACTGATTTGAACCCCTAAACTTTGTTTCTCAGAATTTCTGATGCAAGGAACCATATATTTTCAATGGCTGTCTACGTATATAAAATATTTTAAAGCACATATAATGATCAATCAGTCATTGTGTTCAAAAGCGATTTCCTCGATTTTGATGTTCGGTAATTTATTTTTTACAATTGCTTTTTCAATTGTGAATTAGTCCGAATATGAATGTTGTTAAAGCAGCGTAGAGTCACTTTACAAATCACTTTTGTCTGCAATTTATTCACAAAGTACACATTTCTGAGAAAGCTTAGTCAATCTTAGCTTATTACAAATTATTAATTTAAGGAATTTTTCCATTGACATATATTATTTAAGAATATAATTTTAAGGAACTCTTGTTGCATTTTCCTATGTGATTTATTATGTTCTTTAAGGACGAAATGGTAAACATTTACTGCAATCCTTTATTACTGCTTAATCTTTTAAATTTGAGCAATTATAGATCACCAAACAGTACTCAGCAAAAAATATGAGGCAAATGAAAATGAAAAAGTTCTAATTATAGTAGCAATTCTATGCATAGCTTTCAAAAGCACAATGGATGAATTCTTTGGTTTGGTACGAGTATTGTTTGGTAATATTTCAAAATTGATCCGTAATTTTACGTGATTTTTATAAATGGATGTTTTAGACAATTTTAATGAAAATTACTGCATGAAATACGAGTATCTAGCAGTGCATTGGGTGCAGCAAATGAGTACTATAAGATTTAGTTATATGTAAATCTTTATAGATTTATACTGTTTTTTGTTTTAATATTATAACAAATAATAAAATTATCACTTGTTAAATGCACAATTATTTACATCCACTAAATTGATATAACACCCAAAAAAATAAGGTATTAAAACATAAAACGTCAGAAAGATCATCGGTACCAACACTTCATGATTCTGAATATTGGCGATAGGTAGGTACTATGTCATTTGTTACAAAGCTGAACCAAACGATCTTTTTTGTTTTTTTTTTGCACCGAGGCAACTGCGCATTCAGAAGCCTAAATGCCAGGCCTTCCCTGCCGCTATGAGGAGCTTGAAGAAACTTTGTTAATCCGGTTTTTGAACTGCCTAAGGTTAGTAGGAGTAGGAAAATTCTTCCCATGTAGATTTTTCCACAATCTCGACTCCCTAGGATGAAGGAGCGGTCGTATCGACCAGTTCTGGATGTACGAAGTTTGACATGGTTAGGATGGGCTGAAGTCAGGCGGGTGTGTCTGGCAGGCACATCGCGGAGAAGAGCTCCGAGGAGCAAAGCCTGTTGGTCTGGGCTACGACTAGCCGAAATGAACGGCCATCCATAAAAACTGGATGATAGATAGGACGCCTCTTTTTCGTCAGGGTACATAACTATGTTTTGAAAGCATTAAACTATTCAAGATTGCTGCGTCCTCAAACAGAGATAGCCCCCAGGTCGCTCGTCAAAGGGGAAGTCGTTGCTAGTCTTTTTTTCTCCATCTCACTGGCAAACTTCGACTTATCACTCTCAATTCCTGCATGTAGAATGCTGTCATCGACAAAGCTGTGGATCTGATTAATCGTACAAGAAAGGAGGAACAATATCGGAGCCAATACCGATCCCTGGGGAACACCCGCGTTGACGTTGTCGGAAGAAAGCTATGGATTAGATTGACCGTGCAGGAAAGGAGGTTGACGTTACTATGACAATGCTTAGAGTCCAATATTTACTGGACCTTCAGTTTCCACTTCAAAGGGATAGTAAACATGTAACGTTCATGCTTGGAAAGTAACACGCAAAACATATAATCGGTCATTTTATTGTTATATGTTTTTCACAAAATACAACATGAACATTTAGGAAAAAAATAGATTTTCTTTTAACTAGCTTGAATCATAGTCTTCAGTTTTCATATCATTCAATCCTAGTTCTTCATTTTGCTCGAACGATCTCTCATAATGTTCTATCCTAAGGCCTTCATCTGGTTGGCCATCATCTCTCATGCTCTGTACAGAAGGAAACATAGCCTCATTATCTACAGATATAATAATATACATTTGATTTCCACAAAACAACACAATTGGCGCGGTTCTGGAATGTGCAATCTGAATAAAATAAAATTAAAATACAGCAGACGCGCGATAACGTAAACACGGGATAATGAAAACTTGCGCTAATGTAAACACAAACTTCAAACGGAACGCGCGATAACGTAAACAATGTGTACGCTCGATAACGTAAACAACTCTCGGCGCACGGAAACAGCGCGACCTCTGCGATAAAATACGACAAACTCGGTCAGTCGTATGATCGTTTAGGATACGTTTATACGTACGTATGTATTTCATTTTTGAACTTAAGTGAATACATTGCACGCGTTAATATATTTTACGACTATGGCATCCACATCCTATAAAAGAAAGTGTTTAAAGTTGAGTGAGAAAGTGAAAATCATAGACGAAGTTGCACTAGGTGCGGGAGTGACACAGTTAGCAAAAAAATATGGAGTATCGAAAGCAACAATCTGTAAAATTAAGCGTATGAAAACTCAAATTTTACAAAGAACGTGCAATACATTTGGAGGTCCGGGAAAAAGAAAAACTTTAAAAAATGCGAAGGCACCTAAAATGGAAAATTCCCTGTATAAGTGGTTTTTAAAACCACGGGATAATCATGTCCCAGTTAGTGGCGAAGTACTTAAACAGAGAGCGAGACTGTTAAATGAAAAACTGAAAGAAACTGAAAATTTCGTAGCTAGTGATGGCTGGCTACAACGATTCAAAACAAGATATGGAATTCGACTGCTGTCTATATCTGGTGAAAAATTATCAGCACAACTACAATTAGTGCAACCATTCAAAGAAAAATTGATGAAAACAATTACCAAGCTAGATTTAAGAATGGAACAAATTTACAACGCAGATGAAAGTGGCCTTTATTGGAAAATGTTACCAGAGAAAACCTATTCTGCATCATTTGAAAAATCTGCCCCGGGAAGAAAGCCGGAGAAACAACGAATAACGTTTCTAGCTTGCACTAATGCTAATGGTTCACACAAAATAAAGCCACTGGTAATTGGGAAAGCAAAAAATCCGCGCTCATTTAAAAATGTTAATATCCCTGTTGATTATGACTGTTCAAAAACCGCTTGGATAACTAGCAGTATATTCCTGAAATGGTTCCACAGGTGCTTTGTCCCTCTAGTTTACAATCAATTATCACAAATGCTCTATTCATAATTTGAAGATGTGTTTTCAATTTGTAGGTAAAAGGTTTCCTAAAACAACAGAAGCTTCCAATAAAAGCGTTGTTACTATTGGATAATGCACCAAGTCATCCTCCCGAGCAACAACTGAGGAGCAGGGATGGGTCAATTTTCGTCATGTACATGCCGCCCAACGTAACACCGTTAATTCAACCGATGGACCAGAATATAATAAGACTCACCAAACTATACTATAAGAAGTTTCTACTTTCATCTGTCTTATCAAAGAATCCTGAAAACTTATCTGAGGCTTTAAAAAAAGTAACATTACGAGACGCTGTTTTAGATTTACATATGGCCTGGAATGAACTTAACCAGCAAACTATTCAAAAATGTTGGAACAATCTCTTTTGTACCAATAATGAAGATGATGAAGAAGACGATGTCCCCTTAAGCGTAATTAGAGAACGTTTGCGATCCAATAATGATAATGTTATTAGTGTGTCATGACTGACGCGCAAGCTATACAAGTTTTTAACCAAGCTTTAGATTGGGCTGAAAGAAAAGAAGTTTCATACACGGATATTTTAGTTCTTCGTAAATTACGGGCGCAGGCATTGGAAGACAATGCTAAGCGCAAATTTACGCAGACAAAAATTATTAATTATTTTTCTTCTAATTAAAAAAATACTTATCGCTGTTAGAATATTTGTTTATTTTGTTATAAATAGTATGTATTAAACGTTTCTTTTAATAAATCAAATATTATATAAATCACGTTCGCTAATGTAAACATTTCGATAATGTGAACCACACTTGGATTAAATTAGTTTACATTATCGAGCGTCTGCTGTATGTGCTAATCAGCATTTTCACCTCAATCCTGAATTACCTGTATGTAGCTATTTCCAGCAGGATCATCAAGTACTAAAGTGACCGGAATTTTAGCATCCAGTACGTCATCAAACTTCTTCATAAACTCTTGGTACTGTTCTTTTGTCCTTGCCTCTACAGAATCACCAAACATGTGTACGGAACATTTAGAATCTAACAGTTGTTCTTTAACTGCCTGGATGATCCCTTCAACAGTAGTGAACCTTCCACCTAGAGCATATGGCCCCACTTCTAGTTCTAGTTCTGGTATGGACAAAGAACAGGTTTCAGACTGAAAATGAAATAACATTGAAACACATTTGAGATTCAAATTAACGACCATACGTTTGAAAAGGTCATGTGCCAAACTGTACATACATGCTACAATGCATTTAAGGATATTGTCGACACGCTTTTATTAGCTTGACGTAGGAGGTCTGTAAATTAAATGAGGCGCCGGGGCTTGGAAGGGAGAGAAGGGAACATGTGTTCCGCCTTCAGTACAAGTTTGAACTCTCTCGAGTGTTCTAAAAAAGAGTTATATCTGTGTGCCTGAAATTGATCAGGTTTTGCATCAGATTTAGTTCAATGGAAACTCTTGCTAAACCGGCCTACAGAGACAGTGTTTTAGCCCAGGCTTTTCGGAGGTGTAAGGCATTTAGCCTTCATCTTCTACAAAATATCGACGGAATTCGTGATCTTGTGCCTTTTTTCTTTTCCTGAAGTTGAAAAATCAGCTCAAAGGGAGATTCAAAAACATTTAAAGGCTATTCCAGTATTGGAGTTCCAGCATTGCTATGAGGAGTGGAAGAACTGCCTCCAGCACTGTGCAGCTTCAGAAAGAAGTTATTTTGAAGGTGGTAATATAAAATTGTGAATATATTTGAATGAAAAATTTAAAAAAAAAACAATTTACAGACCTCATATATGTATGTAATGGAATCGTTCAACCTTATTTTCAGCAATTTCAAGAAGTCTGATTAAGTTGAAAATATGCACAGTGGTCAATACAATAATCTTGGAAAAAAAATGCGAATTTGAAATTTTTTTAAAAATGTGAATGTTCAAATTTGTAAAATGATTGGGATAATGTAGAAATTATTTGAAGATTTGTAAATTTGGAAAAAATTTTGTAAATTTGGAAAAATTTTGTAATTTGGATTTAAAAATAGGGGAAAAAATTGGGAAGTCTGTTGAATTTAATTCAAAACATCAAAGAAGAGATTTGAAAACCAAATGCATAATTAATAACTGGATACCTTCAAAACATCCCTGGAAAAGTCATCTTTACTTCTAACTTTGACTTTGATCTTAAGTCCTTTTGGTTCCACACCACAACCAGATTTGACTTCATTTGTTTTATGACCACAAGCATCACAGGTTGTGGCCATTATGAGTACTTCTTTGAAGTGGGGGATATCTAACACTCATGTTAAGGAAATCATACACAAATTCTCTGAAGAAACAATAATTTGTGAGATTCATGAAGAATCTGGATGGGTAATATGATTCACAATCTTGCTTTGTGAAAAAAGTAATGTGAGGGAATTATTTAAAAAAGTAATTGATGTGAATGTGAATATCACAAGATTGTGTGAAATATTAATTTCAATTAGACTGGATTTTAACTATATCTTGAATAAAAAAAAAGGATACTTGTCAACTTAATGTTAGTTTCACATGGTGACTGGCAGTTTGAGCAGTTTGTAGGAAAATGAAAAACTTCTCCTTCTAGATCTTCCAGTGTAAACTCTCCTTCTTTTACAGGATAGAGTAGAGAGTCTTCTTTTCTAGCTTCTTCTGCACCTATCTCTTCTTTGGTGTACAATCCCAGTTCATGATCTTGATCCTTGCTTCTAACAAAGTAGTGTACTTTACAGTTTTCATCTACCTTTGGAGCATTAGGATTCTCTATAAAGCTATTCCCTGATATATCTTCAATCATCTTGAAACATAATCAATATTAGTCATATAATGTGTAGGTATAGTAAGTAGACATTGACAATTTAAAAAAATTATATAATGAGATGGGAATTTTGTCTAAAATAGGATTCCACATAAACTTACTAAGGTAAAAGGCTTTTCAACAGTTTTCAATTGCTCCAATTTTTTAATAAACTCATCTATTTTTTCTGCTGCCTCTGAATGCTGTATTCTTCTTATTGGTTGATCTTGCTGCAAACCTAATATGCTTCTATTCATGATACCTTCGACTGTGGTTATTTCTGTAAGCAATACATCAAAAGTGATTAAAATCTGATAAATAAATAACTCAATCTGAAATGGAGGAGGGAGAAGATGATCAATAGATGAATTAGCTAGTAAATCCTATACTTGCCTCCTTTTTGACTTTTTGCAGGTATCTCAAAATCCAGTTCTAAAATTTTGATACTTGTATAATCACTTTTAACAACTGTCCTATTCAAATCTTCTTGTGATTTTACATGCAGCGTGAAACGTACCCCCTTTTCAGCAACTGGGGTTCCAGACTGAATCTCATTATTCTGATAACCACAGTGTTCACAGGTAAAAGACATCACTACAATCTCCTTGTAGAATGGAATTTTCGTCAAGAGTAATCTTGTCATTCCCTAAAAAGTTGAAGTCATGTCATGTGGATGCTAAATACAAAATCACCATATTCTCACAGTTTTGTGGCAGTTCATACACAGAGACTCGATCTCTGTGGTCTCAGGATCAGGATCATCAGCATTGATGTCCCGGAAAAGCGGCTTTGTTGTTCCCATATTTGCAAGTTGAAAATACAAGTATATTCACTGTACTTGGCCAGATAGAAATAATAAATTTTGCTGTATAGGGTGAAAAAGCCAATCCAATCCGTTATAACGTAAAAACCTACAAAAACATGTGGTTTAAATATGTAAGGTTATGTCAAAGCCAGAGATAAACTGAGATAAACCCGTCAAAGCACATGTCAAGGTATGTTTTGACAAGTCAGTGACACAGAACACAGGAGAGAGAAAAAAGATAAGATGTTGAATGGATGTGTCGCGTCATATGTAATATATAAGGGTATGAAGATATTTCTTAGAATTATCACACTTTGGATAATGTCCACTGCTCACAATTATTATACGTCATTGGTCACAAATGTTTTCGTTGAACTCCGAAAAAATTGATGTACAAGCAGTATTTTTCTTACTGACGAATCATTTTATCAACAACAGCATGTAGCTGCAATTGCTCTCCTTTTCTCGTATGCACCTTGTATGTATATATTCACAACTCTGACTACTTGATCTGAAATTTGGCAACTTCGCATAATGGATGCGTCATCTTTTTTTTCGTTGACGTTTGACAAGCAAAAATAATTGTAGGAGTTTCTCTTTCAGCTTTTTTGTTATTCAAATATATTTTTGTGCCGAAATGGTTGATAAATTGGGTAATTATATATTCTGTATTATTTTCTGCATTTTGTTCAAATCGCCAAATGCTCCTAAGCATCTTAAAATAGTAAATTCGCATATTAACCATATACGGTTTACCGTTCTTATGTAGCAGTACTGCTTTACGGTCTAATTGTAATTACAACTAGCCACTTTTACTTTTTACCTTTGCAAATGAATTTGTAATAGCTTTTCTATTCCCACCCTTCACTTGGGTGCACTGAAATGTAACGAGTATCATCATTGGTGTCAGTCTTTAACCAGGTTTTGTACCCCACAAAAATGTCTGTTTTAGTGAATAGTGAGGCAAATGCTAGGAGGATAGCGATGGTGGAGAGCTGCTTTGGTAGTTCAGGACAGGTAAATTTACTTTGATATCATTTTCTTCAGATGACAGTTCTTTTAAGTGTCTTAAAATACCACCCCGCATTCTATACCTATCTGAACCTTTCTTCTAGTCATGTTGATATTGCTGATCTCAAAAATGTCCATAAAATGATTAAACATCTATTAATCATAAGAGTAGAGTCATTATTCAGAGTGTATGACATTGTGAAAGTTGTACAATATGATCCAAGAACATTTTCATTGTAGTGATTTATACATATTTTGTCAACTTTGATATTGATATTTAATGAATATGCTGTCATTTAGGATTACCAATGTCAATATCAAAATGATTATCTAAGTCATATTTACAATCTTGATCCTTACACCTTGATCAAATATTAGTAAAAGTCAACAGTCCAAGTTGTCTATTATTTGTTATAAAAACTAAAGACTGATTTTATTAAAAGTATAAGTATAAGAAACAAAAAGGTTTTCCAATAAACTACATGATTCTGCTGATATATCAAAAGTCTATTTTAATGTGAATTTCACTAGTCTTCAATGATTTCTATAACTTCCCTCAGAACAGTGCAATCTATATGGATTCAGTCTCTAGCCTATTGCGAAATTTTAATATTATGATCATTGAAACTTTAGCATCATAGTACTTGAGGTTGCCAATCGGAACATCACAATAGTAATGCCATTAATCAAAAATTCTCAATAGGGAAATCTCGATGAAACATCTGAAACTGATTTGATTTTCCTGCTAATAATTCTCCATAGCTACCTTGGTGGCCCTTTCAAATTACAAATGTGGCTGAAACATCAGTAAACAGTCAATTCTACATATTTCATTGCATTTAATGGCTATAAAAATATGGAGAATTATCAGAGAATTCTTATTTTGCCTTTTTTCACTATAGCCATTGGGTGTGCCAGGCAGAGTTTTGGTTGGGGAAGGAGTATTAACAAAAATGTGCAGGAAAAAGCCCAAGACAAGACAATTCTTCCTGTTCAACGATATTTTAGTATATGGTAATATTATAATCAACAAGAAAAAATATAACAAGCAACATATCATTCCACTTGAAGAGGTGAAATTGGAGAGTTTAGATGATGACAATCGTAAGTATATTGCACCAGTTTTTGTCTTGTCAAAAATTGCCCCAATGTACCAGTTATGTGAACCTGATACACATAATATATCAAAAAAATGTAAACAGAACTCCATGAACATGAAACCTCATATAGGTCCTTTCATGGTTGCAAGAAGTAGTACTTCAACATCTATTTATATGTATCTGCCTTCTAGGTGACATTTAGAAAAAGTGTATGTCAAATTTCTAATTTCTCAGGCCTGTATCGTCAGTCGTCCCTTTATGGCCTCCTTGATTGTCATAGTTTTCTGCTTCTCCGTGTCAGAACTCTATTTTGCGGTTATGTCACAAACATCTATTTGCATCAAATTGTGCTTGCTTTTGAGTTATATCATGTTTTATCAGCCTGACATTTCCTACAATTTAAAAAGAAAACATATCTTTACAATAGGAGAGCACTGACGCTGACCCGGGACAAGTGTAATCTAGAAATTTTTGAAGGAGAGAAAGGAGGATGACAATCAAGGAGGCCAATAAACGCGCCCTACAATTGTAGGGACGACTGACGATACGGGCCTTAGATTTCTGTGTCAAATATAGAATATTAATAGAATGAAACTTTTCACTTCCAATGTAACCCCTGAAACTTATCCTGGTGTTTTCATGATCATTGGACTCCATTGTCTGGCCAAATAAAACCATGTATATGCCTAAATTTCTGCTTTACAATAAAAGGCCACAGTGGTTATCGAAATGTTGTTACAATAAACAGAAATTTGAACATATATGTGGTGTGATTCGGCCAGACATTGGAATCCTTTTCACAGCCAATTTAACTACTTTATTTCCAGGAACTGATATCAATCAATAGTTTAGGCATAGCTGATATTATTTACCTGGAGAAAATAATAATGCACATTGTGTCATTAAGTTAATATTACTTTCTTGATAACATTTCTAATTTGTATTTTTCTTGTTCAGAATACAAAAATGGCTGGTTGATAAAAACAGCATCAAAATCGTTTGCAGTGTATGCAGCTACAGCTGTAGAGAAGTCTGAGTGGATGGCACATATAAATAAGTGCATTGATGATCTTCTCAGAAAAAGTAAGTCCCAAAACAGTAGCTCCATACAGTTAGTAAAGTTACCACCCAAAATGAGATAATAGTGCATGAGTATTCTCTATATCATCTCACTATTTTTTTGGTTTGCAGGTGGTAAAAAGGCAGTATCCGAACATGCAGCAGTTTGGGTTCCAGATACAGAAGCTTCAATATGTATGCACTGTAAAAAAACACAGTTTACTTTGATCAACAGAAGAGTAAGTTGATGCTTTATTGTAGTATTCACATTTTTGGTACTTTTGGAGTTATTCCTTACTTCATGCTGTTACTTCCCACGCCTACTGGAGGGCAAGTATTGTAATCGCGAAAATTTCCAAAAAAGTGATATGTTTTTTGGATCTAATATGACATGTACAACATGAAAAACATCACTCATTTCCATCTGTCTATTTTGATGAAATGCATGATTCAGGAAATTCCCATTTATGTTTTTTGTTGTGTAATAGATGTCAACACCGTTCGACAGCGGACCTGCTCCCGCCTTCAGGAGAATTTCGCCGTCAAGACAACGTCGGGAAAACAACAAAAGAAAGATAAAACCACTCAAAACTTGACATCAAATCAATACAGCAAATTAACAAAACAGAATAAAATGAAAAATATGCCTTAACAGTATTATATTAACGTAAATATTCGAAGGATAACTGATGTAAACGCGATACATAGGCTTTCAATTAGGTTGGTGGAATAATTTGATGCCTAAAACTAGCTTGGCGCGTGCAAACAAACAAAAATATGATACTGACTTTACAGACTCTCAAGTAGAGAGTTCGCGTAAATTGTACAAGCCAACGATAAGAATCGAAATATATCTCAAATGTACTACATGGAGTAGCCACAGTAAAATATATAGTAAATCCATTTTAACCATTATGTTTATTTCAGCATCACTGCCGTAAGTGTGGAGCTGTAGTTTGTGGTCCATGCTCGAATAAACGATTCCTTCTGCCTAGCCAGAGCTCAAAGCCGTTGAGAGTGTGTTTACACTGTTACAATGCCCTTACAGCAGCGTCACAGAAAAATCAAAATTCCAGTACCGACTCGACACAAAAAGGTTAGTAGACATTCCATGTTTAGCTTGCACCTCTCCTTGTTTTATAGCTCCTTTATTTAAAATTATCTGGTAGAGTTGTAAAATTACACATAACAAGTATAAGGGACTGTTTGTTCTCACTGGAAGCAACTGAAAATCGTAACCTGACTCGGCGTATTTATTCAAATACAAGCATTTAAACCAAAAAGGGACGTTTCCAGTTGCTTAACCATTTCCAGAACTGTTATCGCTAGTGGGCTTGCCAAGATATCATCTGTGGGCCGTGATGACTCTTCAGTTAAGGTTCTGGTAGTATCTTTAAAAATTTCTTGATAATCGGATAAGCGGTGACGAAACATTCCGAAAGAGTGTAACAAACAAGTTAATACTGTACAAGGAATTATCAATCTCAAGAAATATGTTTGCATCATGGAGACAGGAGGACAAACTGCCCAAGGCAAGACCCTTATTCGTATGAAGCCTATACTGTCGGTAAGGAGGGCGTGGCTCTCGGAAGTGTAGTGCGCGAATAGCTTCTGCGCATATATATACATGATGAAAGCAACAGACGCGCAGGCAGGGTTGCTAACCCTTCAGTTATAACTGTAGATATACAGTTTCTCAAAAATCTTCCAAGTTTTCAGTTCGGGCGTCCAAATCTACAGTTTTTCTTTTAAGATGCTCGCGCCGTCTGTTTTGTTTACTATGAAGTCGAAAGTCCATACAATAACTCGATCTTAGTAAAATCTACCACTTGCCAGATCGAAATATACGTAAAATCTACTTTGGATCAAGTTCTTTCTGCAGCAGTCCTGACATGACAAGAAAATGGCAGAATTCAATTAAAGTTTTGTCATTTGAAAGCCGCCCAAGGTCAACCAGAATCAAAACCGCTGCGAAAAAAAATCGATTCCAGTTAAGCAGAAGTGCAAAGGCAAATATACTATTTTTGTCGAGTATCAATCGCGGAAGAATGTCAAAAAATAACATCTGATCATGCATGCAAAATCTTTTTGAGCGATTGTGGCTCTGGTTGGCCTTGAGTGAATATGGAAAAATTTAAATGGAAATTCTATCACTTTTATATCACTCAAGGCCAATCAGAATCACAATTGCTCAAAAAGACTTTGCTTAAGAAATGTAAAACTGTCACTTTTTGACCTTGGTCTACGATAGATACTCGTGAAAAATACTGTTAATGGAAGGCTGTAGATTTACAGTTTTTGGCTTCACCCTTATCGTAAATACCAGAACATGATTGGGATAAGACGTTTTAGTGATTACTGATTATTTCTGGTTGTGAGTGTTCAATATTGTAATAAGGATGTGATTAATGAAGAACTATAATAGGTATTTAGTAGTCTTTTTTATCATTATAGTTATGTCAGTCATAAAAATGTACGTTCGCTTTTATCTTGGAGATAAGTAAGATAATGTCCGGCTTTGAGGGACAAATGTCCGGTCAAATACAGTGTCGTGTCCGGTTTGTGTAAGAGATGACCCCCAATTCTATAACAAATGTTCCAAGATGGCAGCATCCAGTCGCCGTATTGAACACGTGTCACTTTTACGTTAGAATAGAGCATTCATGCATGAGTTTCATTGCTACGAATGTCAGTTCAAGAAAAAATTGAGGAGGGGAGGCGGGCTTTTGATAACCACTGTACACATATACTAAGTGACATATAAATCCGAACACCCAGTTTAAATGGTTTTATTTTAATAAAATTTTGTATAAGTACTTAATGAAGCATAATAAGTAAATGATAAAAATTTCAAAATGATTGCACTGCTTTAAAGCCCTTTGACCTTTAATAATGTGTGGATGCACCCTGATGTGCTACGCATTCTCCAACGCGCCTAGGCATGCTTCTGATCAGGTGGTCAATGTCCTCCTGTGGTATCTCATTCCAGGCAACCACCAACTCCTCTCGAAGTGCTTCTAGAGTCTGAGGAGGACGTTGCAAATTGAACAATCTCCTACCCATCATATCCCACACGTGCTCAATTGGGGATAAGTCGGGAGATCTTGGTGGCCATGGTAACAATGTGACATCATTATGTTAAGAGAAGTCTATTGTGACTCTTGCAACATGTGGTCGGGCATTATCTTGTTGGAAAGCTGGATCTGCCAGGGTGTCAAGATAGGGTAAAAGATGGGGTTCTAGAACTTCGTGGATATAACACTGCGCGTTCATGTTACCTCTGATGAAGATTAAAGGTGACCTGGAACCATAAGCTATAGCACCCCAAACCATAACTCCAACAGTGTGATGAACATGTCTTTCAACAAAAAACTGTGGATTCCTCCTTTCACCACGTCGCCTTCTAACCCTGGCACGACCATCGTGCATGCCTAAACAAAATCGAGACTCGTCACTAAAGACAATACTGTTCCATTCCTGATCCCAGAGTGACCGTTGTCTGCACTACTCAAGGCGATTACGTCGGTGTTCTCGAGTTAAAGGGAGGACCCAGTGTGGCCGGTATGAAAACAAGCCAAAACTTCTCATTCGTCGGTAAACACTTCGCATGCCAATAGGTCTTCCGTGTTCTGCAAACCATTCATTTGCAATGGACCTGGTAGTGGAGAAACGGTCCCGTAAGGCCAGTAATCCTAGGCGGCGATCTTCACGGTCTGTTGTTCTACGGCGGTGTCCAGTGCCCCTTGCTCTTTGCGTACGGCCTTCTCGAAGCCATGCCTGACAACACCTAACCACAGTGTCTACACTTCTTTGCACTCTAACTGCAATTGCCCGAAAAGAAAGTCCAGCTTCCCGAAGTCTCACTATACGGCCCCTATCAAACTCACTAAGTTGACGAAATCGTACAGGTCTCCATACTCTCGGCATCGTATCCGATCGTAAAGGATGTCAAGAACCAAAATCCGCCAACGTTGATTCTTTAATGCGGCTGAAATATTCATTTTTAGAGCGTTAGTGAATTAAGAAAAAGCAGGAAAAACCGGAATGTCCAACTGATAAGGCTGAAAATTTGTTCACTTGTTATTTACAGTAAGATAAATACATTCACCAACTTTTATTAAAACAAAACCGTTTAAACTGGGTGTTCGGATTTATATGTCACTTAGTATATATTTATTTATATTTTTTGTAGGCATAAATGCAGACTCATCAGGTGAAGAAGATTCGGATGACGATGAGGAAGCAAATAAAACTCAACCCGAATTCCATGATATGGTAAGTTTATTTTAATTCACTTGGTACCATAGTGCCTAATAATTAATGTAGTTATTGTGGGTAGTAATTGCCATTTCACTTCTTCCATGTATCAAAAATCATTTTACAGTTAAGTTTCTATCGTAACTTGCATATATTTGATATTTTTTACGTTTTTAATTTATGTTTTATTTCAAATATAGTTGTTTCGGAGTCACTGTCTTGGTTATACTTGTTGAAATGTTGTAAGTTGTTTTATTTTGAGACTTTTATATTTTGCTAGTTTGTAGTGTTTGAAGCATTCCTCTAATCAAGAGGCAAATGATTGGAAATGGTTTATTGTTTCATTGTAAGGCCAAAGAAACGAAATCATTAACATGTGAAAATATCTAGACAGTTTGAAGATAAATTGCTATTTGAGTGAATTCTCATGCATGAATGAATACACAAAAAGCATCTCCTGATTATTGAATGATGGGTGTGGTGTGTATAATTGAATATAAGCAGCTTTATCTATGAATATGCTACTCGATCGAAATAATTTGCTAATTAATCAAATTAACTATTAAACTTGACACTTGTGGATAAAACAGTTTGGTTTTTGCTCAAATTCTGCAGTTTTCCAAAAGGTTCTGACATCATGACTATAATTTGATTGAGAAGTTTAGAGATATGAACTCCTGCAACGCTTAAAAATGGTCAGACAACAAAAATTTTATCAGGTCGAGAGTTTTGCGAGTGACTTTTATTTAGTTTGTCGGAGAATTATTCGTACAACGGGACATTTCATGTGACATTAAACAACGTGAAAAATCATAAATATTTTCGTTTACTTATCCTGCTCCACAGGATTGTTTTAGATTTCTCAATTGACCCACTTAAGGTCACGATGTACACTACCGTTCAAAAGTATTTGAACACCTGCATATTTCCGTTTGAAATCATAACAAACAAAAAAACTATTCAGTACGTACAAATATTTATTTTCTTTATTTATTGAAAACTATCACCATGAAGATCAAGCATCATCATTAGCCATAATCGGAATTTCTTTGCCTTTAGAATATTGTTATGTGTTTGTATAGGAATTCTTTCTCAGGATTTGTTTTTCGATTATTTCTTTTAGTTTGTGTTGTACGAAACCCATAACACGGTTATACTTCAGTTATCTTGTCTCATTTGAGAAACTAACCGTGCTTCAATACCTTATAGTTTTGATTATAAATAGTTATATATTGTTAAGAATTATGGAAATGAATGTTTCATACAGATATGGTAATGTTTTCTTTATTAACTTCCATTAGTTTCCGTGTTTTTTGGGTGTTCAAATACTCTTGAACAACAGTGTATTTAGGTATTTATGATCCATTGAAATGCATTCCAGGAAACTAAGTTGTACGAATATCTTTTGAGTTAGTAATATCACTAACCATAACAGTTGACAAGTATGTGGTGTGTATACGATTTGCTAGCAATTAATAGCTATTTAATTTAATGAGATGTTAATTTGTAATTTTTTCCAGCCGAAATTCTATGGGGATAACGAAAAAGCTGAATAGTCCGTCAACTGAAAAGTCGCACTTCCATAAAAAACGAATCACTTGATATTCTTAAATCTGTTTAATAATCCTACGTAGCTCAGAAATAACATATATTTTTAATATAAGGTCACTGTGTAATTAACACGACATTGTAGATAATTTTTTTATGAAAACGTGTGTGACTATCGGAGGATGCATTCTCTATCGTATCGCGATAGTTCGTAGTACCTAGATGACATATTTCTATTTATACAAGCAGGGCCGGCTTCAGAGTTTTGTGCGTCCCCCAAATTAATGTGAATTTTGCGCTCCCCATGACATTGCGCCCTGCCCTGCCTTGCTTACCGCCTGTAGCCGGTCCTGTATACAAGAAGTGAAAACATGTCTGAAGTTTTCATCTGTATTGCTGGCCATACTCACACGTTCTTTTGCGCGGAAAATCGTGCAGCGCCTGAAAAACACGTGTAAAATCATTTGTATTAGTAGGCCATGATGGATGCTTATCAATTTTTTCTAAGTGCGTCATTTTTTTTTTCGAATCTGGCCCAGGCAACTTCACACTGCCACAAAAACGTGCATAATGTTGTCCATCTTTACTAGCAAGCATAGATTTTAAAAACATGATAATTTGTACTTGAAAAGGAATGTGGTAAATCTTGGAACTTATGTATGGGCAGAAGGCAGAATTTTTTTCTGCCGCGCTGTACTTTCGCACACGCTCGAGAACGTATGTGTATGACCATCTTATAGTCTGCACTTTGTGAAGTTCACTCTAAATGGAGTTCCGGTATTTTCACCCTTTCTGGCCATCATCTTTTGGAGTATCGATATTTAGGGATTCAGGTACCGCAGCAAAAAGTTAGTATTGTATTAAAAATAGATTTGTCATCTGGATACTCTATGTTATAATTGTGGTGCTCAGTATTCTTATGAAGTACAGATTGCCAATTAAGACAATTCCTAAATTAAATTTTGTATATTAATAATATATTGGTGTAATGTCATATTATTCATTTAAAAGTAAATCTGATGTATAATATGGATATAAATATTTTTATTTTTCTGATAAATTAAATATGAGTGTATTCTATAGGCGAAGATGTGTTGATTATTTATATATGAATAAAGATTTATTTTTATTTTCTATCTTAAGAGTGTATTAAGTATAAATAACCAAAATATACCAATTTCCAGCCATCCGATAGGATTAAAAAAAAATGAAATACCTATTTTGCATATTTAATAAAATCATATTTAGAACCTACACAATACTCACAAATTTCGGAAAAATTGACTTGCGGAATTTTGTATGATAATAGTGCAAAAATCTAACAAACAAAAAGTTACTTTGTCTCAGGATCCACTGCATATTATACTATTTCAAGATTGTATAGTAAATGATTATAGAAAAAGAATATGTTTTCTGTCAAGAATATGATTTTGTAAACTTGGAATCAAGAACGTTTTATCAAACATTCTGAATCTCACAGTTTTACGAGTAAATTAACCTATAACAGGAATAGGATCACCTAATGTAAGTTCATCCACTTAAAAATGTCTGTAAACATCTTTACCAGCAAGCATTGATCTTTCTAGTTTTTATGAGGTATACTTTATCTGAAGTCACTTGAAACACTGTGAAATACCGGGTGCGTTTTATATATCTATATTTAACACGCTCTGTTGCTGCAAAAATCGACAAATTTCGCAGCAAATATCCCCCGTATAAGAGATCAAAGGCAGTTTCACCGGTCCACGTGGAGTAAAGCACGCCTATGCGTGGACATAGCCAATGAGAAAGCGTTTATTTCAGAGCTCGGAACAAGTGCAGGTGGCTACTGAAAATTGAAACAGTTTAGCCAGTGCCGCGTAGCGGTGAATAAACGTGTTTTCTTTAGTCTGTCCGTGTTTTTTCATAGATTTTATTAGTTTGTGTGTTTTTGACTTTTGAATATTCAGTTTACTTGTTGATTTAATTGTTGTGTTGATTGTTCTTGTGTGTCCTAAATATGGCTCTTTGGAGACCTTGGGAAAATGCTCCAAGCCACGAGGAGATGGTTGATGAACCTGTGCAGGCAGAATTCTTTCATAAAGATTTAGAGGAACATACCCAAAGAGTAATCCTAAATATGTATGATTGTCTGAAAAACGAAAATCCAGATTCCTCGCAAATTCAAATTTTAAACAGACTTTGTATCCTGACAAAAATCAGTCGGTCTACCATTTATCGGGTTATAAAAAGGGGAGATGTAGTCAACCATTCCTTCCACAGAAAGCACATAGGGCGAAAATTAAAAAGAATAGACGAGGGTTTTCAGGAAGATAGTCGTCGTATAATACAGTAATACCCCGGACTTACGCGATAGGTGGGTCCGAACGGTTGCCGTGTAAGTCGAATTCGCGTAAGTCGGGGTTCAATGTTGCATATAAATACATATAAAGTTTGTTTAATCGGGACCAGAGTTTAAAGAAAACAATAATTTAGAAGAAAAATGTTTAATAAAGTGTAGGATAATAAAAAAAATTACATTGTTATGAATAAAGTAAGCTAAACCGAAGTTATTTTGATGTCGAAGGCTTTATATATTCTAACAATGTTGCCTGACGAGTTAAATTTTTCTTCTTTTCACGTAAAATTTCCTCGTAGCATACCAGTAATTTTTTTATCCCTCGTTTTGTAGTAGACACGCGTTCTTCATTAGAATCAATTTTTTCTAAAATTTGTAACCCCTTTTCAATTGAATTGAGTCCTTCTGTTAAGTTTGCAATTGTCATTTGATTTACCGATTCAACTGGGTCTAGCGAATCAGTTTGTTCAATGTCTTGCTCATACTTACGCATTTCTATAACCTCGTCAATTGTTAGCTCTTGATTGTGTGAATCTAGCAATTCTTGAACGTCATCATTATCGACCTCTAAATTTAATTGCTTGGCGATATCGACCACTTCTTCTATTATGCTATCGATTTGTTCAGGATCTGAAATGGTTTCTCCTTGAGTTTCAGAGGTGAAAAAAAATGGACACAGTTTTTTCCAGACACCATTGAGAGTTTTTTGTGAAACCTCATTCCAAGATTGTCCAATAATTCTTACAGCATCTAAAACATTGAATTGCTTCCAAAAGTCTTTAACAGAAAGCTCATTGTTTTGTCTCATAGCTTCATGTAGATGTGCAAATGACCGCCTTGTGTAGTAAGCTTTAAATGTTTTAATGACTCCCTGGTCCATTGGTTGAAGCAAGCTGGTAGTGTTTGGTGGCAAAAATACAACTTCCACACGTGGATCGAAATTAATTAGAGTTGCGGGAGGATGACCTGGTGCATTGTCAATTAGTAGCATCACTTTAAATGGGATTTCTTTTAATCGGCAGTAACGTTCGACTTCAGGAATAAAATGATGGCCAAACCAGTCTTCAAAAAGAGAAGCTGTCACCCAAGCTTTCGCATTAGACTTCCAAATGACAGGCAAACCAGCTTTGGATTTATTTTTTAAGGCCCTTGGATTTTCTGAGCGATAAACTAAGAGAGGTTTTAATTTACAATCTCCAGCTGCATTCGCACCAACCATCACTGTTAATCGATCCTTGGCGGCTTTAAAACCTGGAAAAGTTTTCTCTTCACGCGCAATAAAAGTTCTTTTAGGCATTTTCTTCCAAAAAAGACCTGTTTCATCTACGTTGAAAATAGTTTGGCTAGTGTAGCCACCTTCATCTATCATTGTTTTGAGTTTTTCTGGATAGAGAGATGCAGCTTCTTTATCAGCGCTTGCCGCTTCTCCACTCTCTGCGATGCTATGCCAATTACAACGACTCTTAAATCGGCTGAACCAGCCGTTACTAGCTTTAAACACTTCATTTTCAGCCGCCTCCCCAGCTTCTTCTTTTAGTTTTTCAAAAATCTGCTTTGCTTGAAAGCACACTGTATTTTGATCAACAGGACAATTTTTCACTCTTACTTGATTATCACACCATGACTGTAGCAATGTTTCCATCTGTGCGATAATACCGTGACGCTTACGGATGATACTTGAATTCAAAGATTGAGAGTCTTTCACAGCGTTCATAATTTTTTCTTTACCTTTTACAACCGTTCGGACTGTTGATTCCGGAAGGTCAAATTTCTTCGCCAATTCACAAATTTTCATTTTTGCTTCAAAGTCTTTAATTATATTCAGTTTACACTCCAAAGACAGTGTTTTTCTTTTCTTGTTAGGCTCAAATGACTCATTTTTTGTTCTTTTAGACGACATAATTAGAGATTATAAGTAAAACGCACTGCGCACGTAAAACAATTGCACGCGAAACACGTTTAAACCTGATGCAAATTGAACACTGAGTGGGCGGAGCGAGAGAGCCGATGCGCGCGCGGAGCGAGAGAGCCGATGCGCGCGCGGAGCGAGAGAGCCGATGCGCGCGCGGAGCGAGAGAGCCGATGCGCGCTGCGCGCGGCAATCAAAATGAAAAACCGCGTATCTCCGAATTCGCGTAAAACGGGGTAGCGTAAGTCGGGGTATTACTGTATACGGATTTTATAAAGAAAATTTGGTGCCCAAGTTGGAAATGATACGGGATAAATTAAAAGATTATCCTGAAGATTATTAAAATTACAAATGCTTAGACTCACTGCACTGTATTGTAAAACTGTGTGGTTTTCAATACAAAAAATTAGATAAAAGAATGGTGATTATGGAGTCGTCTCGAATCGTTGAATTGCGCCAAGAATTTTTGCACAAAGTTAAAATCTATAGAGAGCAGAAAAGAAATCTGATTTACCTGGATGAAACGTGGTATGATACCCATGATGTTGTGCAGTACGGCTGGGTTGACGACAGCAACAAGTGCATTTTAAATGCACCATGCAACCGTGGAAAACGAATCATTATTCTCCATGCTGGCAGTGAAAATGGATTTATACCTAATGCCTTGCTGTTATCTGCCAAAAATATCAAAGAATCATGTGTAACCGACTATCATGAGGACATGACCTCCGACTTATTTGAAAAGTGGATAGAGCAGCAGTTAATACCAAACATTTCCCCAAATTCAGTGATTATTATGGACAATGCGCCATACCATTCCCGACAGAAAAACAAAATTCCGAATACAGGCACAAAAAAACAAGACATTATTGATTTTATGAAGGATAAGGGAATGGAAATACCACAAAAATCAACCAAAGCCATATTATTGGATCTTATTAAAAGACAAAAATTTGAAAAAGAGTATGGTTGTTGACAATCTGCTTCAGCAAAATGGCCATGAAGTATTACGTCTACCTCCCTATTACTGCATTTTTAACCCGATTGAGTTGGTCTGGGCTGCTTTAAAAAAAAAAAGTAAGAAAACCTAATCAGACCCCTCAATTAAGTGAATCGCTATTGGCCACAATAAGAGATGCAGTATCTCATATTGCTGCCACAGACCTATGGAAGCAGTGTTCTAGGCATATTATTGAAAAAGAAAATAAATATTGTATTTTGCCTCCTGTAAATCCCGTTGTAATTCCTCTACAAGATGACTCTAGCGACAGCTCCGAAGGTGAGGATGATATATAAATACCTATAATGTAAGTCTTTATATACCTTTTTATATACCTACCTGCTATGTAAATATTTGCCTATGTCAAACGTTGGAATTCTGTAATTTTTCCATTTCTTACCTTTCAGTCAACATAAATTAAACTCCCAATATAAGTATTTTTTATCCCAAATAAAAAAAATAAGAAGATAGTAAAATCCATTTATTGTGATATAAAAACATTATTATTATCGTTCTAAATAAATGCCGCACGCCTATGATACGTCATGAAATTACAAAGGACGCGCCGACCAAAGGTTTTTATGCTATTTCAAGTGACTTCAGATACACCATACAGCATCGGAATGAACAACGCATAGATAATTTTATATAGATGAATTTTAGCATCTGTGATATGTGTTGGCCTATTTGTAATAATAGTAAATGTTTTCGTAATTTAATGGGAACGCTATGTTTCCTTGGAATCAGGTATCTCATTCACATATTTTGTTATCCTTACACTAATTAAAATATTTATAATTTAGTGTATTCTTTCAATACACCCCACTTGGTTATCAAAAGTGAAACACCAGCGCATCACTAAGCAGAAACAATTGAGTCTTGGTGAATACCTACATCCCAGAGGCCCAAAAGGACGAGTGTTTTTTGTCGCCACCCAATGCTTTACTCCATTAGCTGCCTTTCTACATTCTCTGAAATCGTGCAACTAGTAAAATTGCCCGATATCGGGAGTTACTTAACCCTTTTCAAACTACTGGTCTTCTGGGATCACCACCACCAATTAATTTGGATCCTTCATGTTATTCAGACGTTACTGCAATAATGTCTGATGTCTTGTAGTTTAGCCTTTTAGCAACAATTAAATGATACTCAAAAAAATCACTCAGCTGGTGTGAATATGGGACTTTGTATTCTAGTAAGTGCGAGGGTCTCAAAAATAGGCGAAATCTGGCAACACTGTCGTGTGTTTCGGGTACCCCACCACCGATCCCAACAAGAAGCGCGACGCTCAGTACCGGTCTGACGGCCATGCGCAATGAAGCCTTTCATTTTATTTGAAAAAAGAATAACAAAAATACAAACGCGGCCGCAAAGGGTCAGAGTCTTTGTCTATGAAACCTCTATCTCTCATGCTACTATTGGTCAGCGATAGATGAACAGAATCACTTGAATGCGGAGAATGATGTATTTGCTTTGACGCTGTGTAACTGAGGTTTGAATAGGGTATTAAAACAAGCACATATGCTGATCATTGGTAGGTGAACACCCTCAGATTGATTCAATTTTTAATTTCAGATTCTTCCACATAAATTAAATGTATAAAATATCTTAACACTTTTTATTCTAAAATCACGATTTACAGCTTACACATTGTATACAGTTTAGAAAAACTATTTGTACAAGTTCTAAGGCATTTTGTGCAGTAAAATTAAAGGTTTCAGTTAGCGAATTAAAATATATAATACCTGGATTATAAAAGAAATAAGTTATAAAAAACTTACATCACAGCTTTAGTTGCTTACAAAGTAATTGGAAATAAATTAACCTAATTGAGATTGTATTGGTCTACCATTAAGCTACGATTTCTAATTTGTTCTTATATCCTTGAACCCTTTCAATGACCTTATCTATAAAAGGACGTTCGTTGGGATTTACTTCCAGCATAAATCTAACCAAACCATGCATATCCTAAACAAAAAAAGGAAAAATTGATTAGCTCAAAAAAAAAATGATACCCAATACTAATATGTAGCCTATCAAGAAGTATGAAACAAGTATTTAGCAGAAAAAAAAGGTAAACTCATATTTATATATCAAGTAGACATGTTATCACTAATGCATTTTATGTAACATAAACAACAGATAATTACCTCACTGAATGGGGTTTCCTCAGGGAAGTGTACAGTTCCAGATATGACAGCCAAATTCACAGAGTCGCCTCTTTCATAAACAACATCATATGGGGATTTAAAATACATCATTGCATACAAAACACAACCTAAACTCTGAAAAATATACAAAAATGTTGCGGAAGAAATAACTACATAATTCCAAGTGAATATTCTTATACCCATGTATAATGTTTAGCCCTTGTCAATATACTTCCATAATTGAAATCTAAACAATATTTACCCAAATATCAGTACGTTGATCTATCACACAGTAACTTTCTATGTTAAATAGCTCAGGTGCTCTATATGTCATAGAACACCTTTCTGCAGCTATATCTTGCAATCTCTGTGCATCTTGAGCACCACAAACTTGAACTTTAGCTGGAGCACAAGAACCTGCAACATAATTTTGTTATTCTGGTTAACATAGTCTGGATATTAGCAACCTGTAATTGTCAATTGATGGGGTGCCTTATTCTGATTCATTAAGTGTTTTTATTATTTTTAAACAATGGTGCTGTGATCTGAAATCGTGTCTTAATTTTTCCACACACTGTTTCATTATATTCTAATTAATAAAACATACCCAAATCCATTAGAATGGGGTCTCCTTGCTCAGTGAGACAAACATTGGCAGTTTTTATATCTCTGTGTGCTATAGGATCTGGAGTAAAATCATGTAGGAATTTGATTGCTGCACATATCTCTAAAAACATTCTAATTATGTCCTTAACATCTAAATGATGTTTGCTGAATGATCTCAAAGTTAAATAGTCATGTAAGGTTCCTCGTTTATAATAAGGCAGTACTAAGTATGCTTCTGAGGTTGCTTGGACAACAATATCTGCTGAACCTAAAATGCATGTATTAAGGATATTTCTTAATTAAAAACATTACAGCATAAAGCATACATGCCTTTAAAAGTGGAGTCTATCAATTCGATTATATTTGGATGTCGTAGCTTCTTATAATAATTGATCTCTTGCATTGCCGTCTTCTGATCATCAATGCTGTGACAAACTATCCTTTTTAAAGCGTATTTTTTCTTCGTTGTAGTGTTTTCTACCAAGTCCACACAAGAAAACCCTCTAAAAAGCTATTTACGTATCTTGTGACAGCTGCTTTCTACCTAAACTTACCCTTCTCCAAGCCTTTCTTTTACAACGTATTTCACACCGTTTATATTCACAGATTCTCTAGTACAAAAGCAACCCATTTTCATTATCATACTAAGACCTAACGTGTTCATTTTTACTGAATCTGTGAAGATTCCAATAATTTATTGTTTTCAATTTTTCTAACCTAAAAGTATGTTGTTGTCCAGGTGTCATCCGTATGTCATGTTGACGTTGCAAGACTCGTGGCATCAGTGATGCCACCGGCCAGTAAAGGAATTATGGTACGATATTGCCAAAATTATCAATTTTTCTTCAAAATTATGTTACAAATAGTGTTCCTTTAAGACAAAAAATACACATAATTAATATAGGTTCTTTAATGTAAAAATCTCATAAAAAATGGAACATTTGGGAAAATCAAACAAACTCTCGAAAAATACTACAAGATATACCTAACTCGAAAACATAAAAAACATTATTCAGGTTCAAAATGAATATCAACAGTTTCATTTTCATCTAGAGCGACATGTTTATAGGACGTTAAGTAACATTAAACTTATAACATTCACGATATACACTTAATAATAAAAGTGAATTTACTGTATCACTGTACAAGCGATTTCGGACATCTGTTTTGATTAAATTTACTTTTGAAAACATTCTTTCGCATGCGGCATTTGAATGAGGAATTACTAATAAATCTAATACAAAATTTCCGAATTCTTTAAATACGTAAACATCAGACATTTCGTGAATTTGGGAGATTTTGTACCAGTATTTATCGATTGATGTTTCATCCTTTATTTCATCACTGAAATTTGGTTCTGACTGGCAATACATCCGCCACTGATCATCAATTCTTAGTATTTGTTCAATATCTTGAGGATCTACAATTCTGGGTAGTAACTTAATTAATGGAAAAAGCGATGCTGGTTTTGGTTTAGAATACCCTTTTTCAAATACTGATATTTTTGACAAAATATTTTCATTAAAATCAAACCGTTTTTTCATTTCATTTGCAGAAGTTATTAAAAATTGACGGCACTGCATGTAGAAATCTTCTTTTTTTTTTGACTTAATTTATCAATGTTCTGAAGTACGCGAACACCAAGGTATATCTGTTTCAAGTCAATGAACTGACTAGCATTGTTGGGATCGATTTTATCTATTTCGGTTTTATGAATATAATTTGGTTGTAAATAGCTTAAACAAATTTCTTTATAGGTTTCACAAACTACATCATAAACGTGTGTAATTATGACACGCTCACTTTGAAAGTATTCATTTAATTTTACAAATTTTGGTAAAATCCAATGAAGAAAAAAGAAAAAAGTTTTGTTTCCATATCATTAAGTCTATTGGCAACAACTTCTGAAGCTTGCAGTATATGTTCGGTCCATTCTTTAACAAAATATAATTGAAGGGGATTCCATTGCTCAATTATCCTTTCCACTACCATAAGTAATGAAAGCCACCTAGTCTGTAAAGGACGTAAAATTTTGTGAGGCTCCACATTACAAAATGTCTGAAATTCTGTAAATTGTGCTTGCCGTTTGGAGCTATTTTTAAAGTAACCAAAAATATTCCTGGCTAAATCTTCACAAAGACGGGGCAAAACTTTACAAGCCTCACTGGCACAAAGATGTAAAGAGTGGCAGATGCATTTTTGAACTATAATGCCAGGAAGATTTAGTGTTAACATACTTACTACTGAGTTATTGGCACCAAACATAGTGTTACAACCATCAGAACCAAATCCTATAATATTTTGGAAAGGTATATTGTTAGACTCAAATAAATACATAATTTTTTTATAAAGAACTTCTGCAGTCGCCCCTGTATTTGCTTCATCTGGATTTTGATTTGAAAAACATTGAACCAAATTTAAAAATTTTGTAGTTACCTCATTTGTTTTTTCACTAAAGTACCTAACACATACACATATATTTTTTACTACACCTATGTCTGTAGATTCATCTACTAAAATGCTAAACTTTTTTGCTTTTAGTTCATCGATTAGTTCTTCAAAATGAGATTTGGCTAAAACATGTTTCATAACACCTGTTGCTTTGGTTCTTCCCATCTGCATTCCTTGGGCAATTTTTGAGTCAGGAAATATGTCTTTTAATAAAGGAATCAGATGATCACACAGCTTGATGGGTAGATTATGCTGTGATATTAATGCAGCAATTTTTATTTCTGCCCTACTCACTTGACCACTAGCTTCGTTTTTATTAGAAAACATAGTAGAAATTTTTGGTTGATTTTTCACAGTTCACCTTTACATTTTTTAAATGTTTAGCTCCCTTACTGTGATTTTTCAATACAGTTAAATCTGCTTGAATTTCACTATCACAAGCCATTTTGCTCGAGTGGGTTTTTCTAAAAACAAAAATGCATATCATTAAAAGTATAAAATGGTTTTATGTTATTTTTTCTACCTTTAACAGCTTTCAACCATCCTTTGAAATGAGGATTGCTTTCCCATTCACATCTATATTTTTGTGGTCTATTTTCTCGTCTGTTTACGTTTTTAAACTTTAATCTTTTTGCCTCCCTTTCTGAATCCCAAGAATCTGGTACTGGCCATTTTATTTCACTATTTGATCACATCAACACACATTAATAAGGACTCATTCGATCAACTACTCTTGCTCGTATTGAAAAAGAAACAATGAGTATCAGGGTATTCCCCTGTGTAGGTTCAAATTCACCGAGACTCGAATTCCGTAATATTTACATAGATGGCGGTAGGCTTGATTTTTATTCTAATTCCATAATAACCATGCTATTAACTGAAAGAGGTGAGCACTAATAGTTATTATCCTTTTTGTTACGTTGCTTTGGTTGCATACAATTAGAACTAATCATTTTGAAAACATAGTTAGGCTGGGAGATGGAAAAATAATATGTTACAATTATCGATCATGTTACATCTTTTTATTTACTATATATTTCAGTAGAAAATATGGTACAATTTGATAATTATGTTACAAGTGGCAACACTGCGTGGCATCATCAAGAACGAACGATGACTTTTGCTGATAGTCCAGTCGTCAACTGGCGTTATTATTCTCCGACCAAAAGATGCTTATTATGTGATTTTTTTGACGTGGCGAATCTCATTTCAGCTGTGATCAATAGTTTGTTCGGGTTAGAAATATAATAAGCTGCATTAAACTGTTTTGTCGACCCATTTAGTTTACAATGAACTGCCTGTCGACTGGAATATAAAGCCCAAATCGTTATGTATCGAGGCTTCAGTAGGCGGGTAGTTCAAACCACATAACACCTACTTTATAAAAGAAAGTTAAATAAGTGATTTTGAAGGTCTGGTTGATAGGCAACCAACTATTCTTATATAGTTAGTACTGATTAATACCACAGAGTGGCGCTGATGCAGGATTTTCCCGACGTTCTTTTTGGCAGTCCAATTCTCAATGCTTTGACGTTGATGTACTCGTAATTTTGAATCGAAAGTTGAATTTCGTGCGGCGCCGGCGTTTTTATTACATTTGTGTCCGTGATACTGAGATCTATTGAGCGTTAAACTGAATTTATAAACTTAATCTTTGTAATGGAGGCTTATCGAAAGCGGGGATTTAAAAGGTGCGTGGTGCCTGGTTGTACTGATACAACCAGTAAAAGGCATACATTTCCTAAATATGACGCCGCTCTTTTTCACAAATGGATCGAGCAAGTGCAAAATCCAGTTTTGAGCGATAGAAGTCTCGAACAAACTTATAGAAGCCAATTGGTGTGTGACTTGCATTTTTTGAAAAGTGATAAAGTGCCTGGAACAAAGAGAGGTCTGACAAGAACAGCTTTTCCTGTATTACATCTTCCAGAACCTCAATTTTCAAGTAAGTAATAACTTTATTTACATATATAAACAGGTACATGCACTGTGCAATCATTGAATAATCAGGATTTAATGATCCGAACATTTTGGTGTCCTAAAAACTTTGACACTATCTACAGTTTCCACAATTTTTGGAAAAAGTTACCTAGCATTATAAACATATTGAAATTCAGTTGTTTTTTAGGCATGGTTTTGGAAAATGTCCAGAGTAGTCTCAAAAGTCATGAAGGGAGTAGAGAAATTGCTAATCCATTGGCTGCAAAAATGACAGATGCCCTCAAAACAATCCTATTGAAGAGTTCTTCAACAGACAACAAGTTGGTCCAAGAAGACACTAAGTATATATGAAGAAGGTAATTTTAAAGACAAATATAAATATTTACCTAAATACCTTTAGAAAACGAATTCATACTTCATTGCTCCATAAACAAATTGTCATTAGTAGAAAAACTAAATTCCTTGTTTTTACATTATCTGCAATGAATACAATACAAGTCTGAATATAAGCACTTTTTTATGAGGGACAAAAATATATAGACAAATTCTTTTCAACATTAGTTTAGTGCAGTTTTGTGTCAGAAGAGGATTAGATTGTGTTCATCAAGTATTGTGGAATAAGTTGAGCGATTTGACGACCATGCCACATGGTCCAGAAATTTCTTTCGATGTGAAAACTAAGATCACAGAGTTATACAAAGATAGTCAAGGTCAAGTCGACATTGCTAAAAATTTGAAGCTGAAGCGTAAAGCAGTTTGGGCAATATTGAACAAATATAATCAATAAGGTATCTTGGAAGCCTCTAAGGCCCGTATCGTCAGTCGTCCCTACAATTGTAGGGCGCGTTTATGGCCTCCTTGATTGTCATACTCCTTTCTCTCCTTCAAAAATTTCTAGATTACACTTGTCCCGTGTCAGCATCAGCGCTCTCCTATTGTAAAGATATGTTTTCTTTTTAAATTGTAGGAAATTTCAGGCTGATAAAACATGATATAACTCAAAAGCAAGCACAATTTGATGCAAATAGATGTTTGTGACATAACCTCAAAATTGAGCGCTGACACGGAGAAGTAGAAAACTATGACAATCAAGGAGGCCATAAAAGCGCCCTACAATTGTAGGGATGACTGACGATACGGGCCTAAGAGAAGTGGTCAGCCTAGTGACAAAAGGAATTGTCAGTGTTTCTACGAAAACTATATTTAACTATTTATTTAAAATATCTTGTATATAATTTGAATATTTAATTCAAATGTAGCTCCATACTGTTAGAGGGAAGTTCAAATATAGGTTCTATAAAAAATTTGGAGTATATCTCGGGGATGGCGCTACAGACCTTAGCATTACAGATTCTCTTGTAGTGCTTCAAATGCACAATTTTCATTTTTTTAAACCACATACATTTCAAATTCCTCTTTATTGACCGAAACACCGTACAATAAAGAGGATTTTTAAGGGTATGTGGTTCGATTCGGCCAGACAAACAGGAAATAAGTGGATTCTGAACAGTTTCTTAATGTTTTTTGTAGGCATACAAAAACTGTGAGAACCAAAAAGGAGTACTACAGGAGTTACAGATTATAGGAGAGGCCAGGGCTGTTTGGCATCATAGAAGTTATTACCTGAACTGGGCCAAAAATGTGCTGTGATATATTTAGTGGACATTTGCATGGATGCTCCATTTTTACTTTGAATCTTCATTTTTCAAAACATTATGCATATACGTAGAAGTGATGTAATTCAGAAAAGTGATGTTACATTAAGAAGACTGAATAAACTTGCTTAACAAATATTTTATTTTTGTTTTGGTAAAAACCTATCCAATACATGTTGTGGTTTGTTCTGTTTAGCACATTCTGTATTTTCTTTTAATATTTCCTTTTTCTTCTTGACAAATTCCTTCGTTGCTTCCTCTTGCAGTATCTTCTTGTTCCTAGCCATTTTGACTGAACCCCCTTTCCCCTTTGCTTTCTTTCTTGGTTCATAGTTTATTCTTGGCGGCTTCAAATACTATTGAATGAAAAAATGCATTAAACAGAGTAACATTACGAGAAGCCGTTTTAGATTTACATATGGCCTGGAATGAACTTAACCAGCAAACTATTCAAAAATGTTGGAACAATCTCTTTTGTACTAATAATGAAGATGATGAAGAAGACGATGTCCCCTTAAGCGTAATTAAAGAACGTTTGCGATCCAATAATGATAATGTTATTAGTGTGTCATTGGATGTTGTTGATTTATTGAAAACAGTGAATCCCAACATTGTTTGTACTATTACTGATATTAATTTATGGAATGAAGATGAGCAGACGAATGATGCTGATAAGGAGGAGGATATGGACAGTGAGGATGATGAGAACGATCCCATTGAAGTCAGAAGTGTAGTGACTGACGCGCAAGCTATACAAGTTTTTAACCAAGCTTTAGATTGGGCTGAAAGAAAAGAAGTTTCATACACCGATATTTTAGTTCTTCGTAAATTACGGGCGCAGGCATTGGAAGACAATGCTAAGCGCAAATTTACGCAGACAAAAAATGTTAATTATTTTTCTTCTAATTAAAAAAATACTTGTTGTACGCTGTTAGAATATTTGTTTATTTTGTTATAAATAGTATGTATTAAACGTTTCTTTTAATAAATCAAATATTATATAAATCACGTTCGCTAATGTAAATATTTCGATAATGTGAACCACACTTGGATTAAATTAGTTTACATTATCGAGCGTCTGCTGTATAGCAGTAATACACAACTAACTTTCCGCGGAAAATTAACTAATCATAAGGAACAATACAGTGACATAAAATATGTCATAAACAGCAACAGAATCTTTGTGTTGAAACAAATTTGTGGTAAGAGTGGAATGAACTTACCAGTAATTTCTTTTTAGCTTCAATCTTGTCTTGAAGTGTTGGTGTGTCAACTTCTGCTATCACAGTCGGATCCAAAGTGATCAGTTCTGGTTGAATCTGGAAGGAAAAACGATTTATCCGGTTAATCTACATTTATAGAATCGGCTATAAGGTTAATTACGCAATCTATACATAGTATTCTCACCTTCTCCAACAAAGCTTTAACTTCCGCCTCTCTACGTTGTGATTTCGATTGGAACGGATTAGCTTCGAGAGAATCAAAGTTAGGTTCACCCGCGCCTGGTACCAGCAGACTTGTGAAACCACGGCCGTGTGCTACACCCAACACGTCTTCATATGGGCAGAATTTGAAATTGCTTATCGGAGTGACGAAACGGTGCCTTAGGTAGGGACGTTTTGCGGCCGTAATACAGCAATCCCTAGAAAAAAATGGCGTTAAGTAGCACTTTACCATAAAACCCTTTCATCAGTTTATAAGAGATTACTTTTAGTATATGAACGGTACCGGGGAAAAACGGCATTAGTCCATTATTTGGCTAAATTGAGCTTTCAGTTTATTTTTCTGATGCTATCTTGTAATCAGCTTCTTAAATTGTAAAAAGGGCTTAGGTTCACAAAACAACAGCTATAAGATTTCCTGTGCCGGGGAAGAATGGCATGAGTAGCTGCGCATATGGAAAGGCGGCGTTGCGTCGGCTATACCTAACTGAAAATCTAAATATCGCAAAATTACACAAAATGTATTCTATTGGCAATGTTGAAAACAAGATTTCCTATGAATCCTTCCGAGAAATATTTCAAAACAACTTCAATATATCGTTCGGTTAGAAAAAGATACTTGTAGTACGTGTGATTCCTTATAGCTGATATATTTTCACTTACAGCTACCTTAAATTCCCACACGGAACAAACTAGGCAGTCAGCCAGTAATAATTTGGAGAAAAAAATACTTGAGAAGACACTACATCAAAAAAGGAGTGAGCGATTTTACAGTATAAAGAGAACTTACTGCAAACGTGCCTGGAAGTTCCAGGCTATCGAAAGTATCACGATGGATTACCAAAAAAACTTGAACTGTCCAAATATCACGACAAATGATATATAATATAAGCGACAATTAAATTTCACCAGTTTCATTCTGTCAAACTCAACTTCTATCTTTTATACCTGTGATAACTCTATTGCTAAGAAAGGAGCTGTTGATGTCTGTTCTATGCTGTATCACTTTTTTATAACATCCTGCCTATGCAAGTAAAAGAACTTGGCATTTTCTGTGACTCCTGTGCAGAGCAAAATAAAAACTTTACAGTTATTCGGTTTTTGCATTACTTGGTTACCAAGAAAAATCGTTTTACAACTGTGAAAGAAATATTCCCAATCAGGGGGCATTCATACCTTGAGTGAGAGATATGAGTCTCGTGAACCAAAGAGCATACACTGAGGTACCGGATGACTTGAGAGATGAATTGAAAAATTGCCGTGTGATTTGATAAGGTAATTCGGAAGAATCTAAAAAAGACACAAAAAGATCAACAAAAACGAGAAAACTTTACCAGGGCCCAATCCCAATTAAAAGTAAGAAGTGGAAGGATCTGCAGGAAATTTCTAGAGATAGCAGATTCAAGGGCATTTTATCAACAGTTAATATCTCTTGATCATCCAGAAGGCAGCAGTGATGAATATGTCGATGACCCGCCAATAGACCCTTAAAGCAGGGGAAAAGTTTCATGAGTCCAAAGTTGAACAACACCCTTTGTTTGTTATGTTACTAGTTACACTGTTTAGCGAATATATTCTTTAAGACTTATTTTTTCATCAATTTTACTTTCCAACAAGTAAGTAAATCTTAATTACCGATTTTCTCAAAATCAGTCCGGATGATGGAGTATTGTCGTTATTCCCCGGTACCCTTGATATGTTAACTATGCTCATCTATATTAAAAGACTTAGATATGTCAATCAGTCCACAGTCCCCACCCACGCACCTTGCCATTTGGGGATTGTATAGAGATTTTCCTGAAAAATGGAGTAACGCGTCAACTTTGCATTGATCGCATCTTTACTAATTTTTGATTTTTCTACAACTTACCTGTATACTTCTACAATGTTGCCCATTCCCACACCTAACAACTTTTTCTGAGAAAATGCTAGGTTATTTGCAGATGTGACAAGCTTGTATTCCTGAACAGGTCCCTCTAGTTTTCTAACATCCCAAATCTTCAGTTCTCTGTTTGTGGCAGATGTCGCCATATACCTGAAAAGACATTTTTTTGGAATATTTTTGTATTTCATTGGATTTGTTGTTATTAACTTACGTCCCTGACGGATCTATATCCACAGCTAGTAATGGAGCTTTATGACACAACATCTTTGCCAATGGTTCCCTTGAAGTTGGTGCCCAAAAAGAAACCACTCCTTTGGCATGTCCTAAACATAGTGTGGCATTCCATGGGTTTTGCGTCAGAATATTCAGTCTTCCTAAGTTGGTGTTGTACTGACCAACTAACTGACCTATAGATACGTCTAACCAGCTCAAATACCCTTCTTCACTCTGGAAATTAATATTGAAACATTTTCTAATATACTGAGAAATCATCAAATTACTGCAAAAACCAGCTCAATCTAAAACTAAATTTTTGGTGATTGACATCTAAATACTTGAGAACACTTGATAAATCCGTTTAGAAAATGACTTGGTAAAAAATTTAACCGAAACATATCAGATATTGATACAAGTGTATGGTGATTGTTGTTTAAACTTTTTTGACATTTTGGCCAACAAGGTTGTGATTGAGCAAGGCAACCACAGGACCATCTTTTGATCAGCTTAAAGAGATACTTACACAGCTTCCTAGTAGAAAATGGTAAGGCAAAAACTCCATCCTAGAGACCCTATTCAACCTTTTGATGCAGTGCAACTCGATTCCCTGATTATCATAAATATACACCCAGCTCTTCTGTGCAACTGCAAACATGGTCTCAATGTGCAGCCAACATACATCATGTACAGATTCCATCACATTCATTTCGCAATGGAGCTTCTTTGTCATCCAATCAAATGCGGCCACATGGCCTCTCTGGCCACCAATGAGTAAATGCCTGCCATTCCTGGTGTACTTGGCTCTATATGGACCAAAGTCCAGATGGAGGTCAAAGTGTTTTGTAGCTGCTGCTATGTCCACACTATCTACAATTTGCTTTTGAGTGAACTGGGTGGTGGTCTCACCTGAATCTGCTTCTAAGAATCTGGAAGAGAAATATGTACAAATTATATTCCATGTTTTAGACTTGAAGCTCTAAAATATTTCTGAAATTTTGAAATATATAGTGATGTAATCTGTATGTATTTTTAGTGAATTTGGACATTAAAATTGAAAAATTCTGACGAACTGCTAAAACAAATATAATTAATCATAGCTGTTTGTTCAATGTGTCCTGAACATTCCAACTGCACCGTGCAACTTTTGCAGCTAGAAACAAGGATCTTTTGACAAATGTAAAGCAATTTTAGTTAATTACTGCTCTAGCCTAAACTTGCAATGTTGACTTAACCAATTTACTTATGTAGAAAAATGTTTTGTTGATCCATAATCCATATTTTGGATCATCTAAAGACCTTCTACAAACCTTGTTGCTTAAACAATTATTTAAATTAAAATAAAAAAACTAGCTATAATTATGATATTTAAATGACAACACACAGTGCCATCCTATTACCAGAATCAACAACTGCAAAAGTGAAAACAATAAGCTGTAAATTGGAACTGTATCCCAGTTTACACTGTCAGCTAGCAGGATCTATAATTATGCCTTACCCAGCATCTTCTGTTAGAAGAATTTCTGCCATGGCTGCTTGTTCTTCAGCAAACTTAATCTTATCTTCCTTTTTCCTAATTTTCTTTTTATGTATATCTAATTTCACACCTTTTACATTTACCCCTTTACCTTTACTATACTTCTCTAAAAGTTCTTTTGAGGGTTTAACTCTTCCTTTAAATTTAGGATTAGGATTTGGTTTCTGTTTTAGTTTCTTCATTTTTTCCAGACGTCTATCCTCCCTTCGCCTACCCCAGGGTTTTTTCTTTATCTTTGTCACATCATAGGTAATGTCTGGTTGCTTTTTTGATGCTGTTGGTGATTCTTTGGCTTCATCTTGAGGCTCTGCCTCCGCTTGGGGCATGGAAAAATATCTTATTGCCTAAAACCGAAAAAGCATGTTTTAAGTAAAAGTCTGTTTATAAGCTCGACGTTTGCGTTCAAGTTAAAAGTTAGTCGTTACTGTTGATCTTTAGACTCGGCAAAGTTTCAACTTTTGCAGTAGCAGTTAACCTCAAAATCTGCAAGTGGTCATTAGAAAAACGTTTACTGATAGGTTACATTTGCTGAAGCCATTTCAGTTAGACTATTTACTAAAATTTTCGCACAAATAATACTTATCAATTTCCCAATAAACAATATTCAGTATGAGATTGAGGTTATGTATGTTCTAAGTTCTTGGCATTTGCAGTTGGAAGTGTATAAATTGCTACTGAACTGCAACGTCCAGTTTATCAATCGGCCTTTAAAATAACACAAAGTTTCTAATAGGTCATACCTTTTTCATCATTTTCTGATACTGCAAATGCAAATATTTTAGTAACAGCAGTCGACTCACATGCACAAAACCACAAATATACAGATACAGACAGAGACAGATACACCACAAACCACAAAACAATATACACGCAATGAGAAAGAAGGCGATGTTGCCAGATTACAATCTGACAACATTATCGCTTAAAAAAGAATGCCGTTTTTGACAATTTTGATGGCATATTGCAGCCATTTTTCAAATTCCCGCAGAAATTAATAGTAGCCAAACATATATTTTCTGTAAAACAGAATGAAAAAGAAAGAATGATATTTAATTTGGCCCGAGTAAAGATAACATGGTCACGTATGACAAGTATTAAATATACTCTACTAGACTATCCGTAGCGAAATTTTTGTCGAAATCGTTACACACCCCTTAAAAAATCAAATGAAGATTGTCAAACTGGGACTTTGACGTACAAATGACTCGTCGTTACCCCGGGATAAACATACGTCTTGACAGTTGATCTTGTCATTCCTGTCACCTAGATCGCGGTGTTTCCAGCTCATCTGATAAATTTGCTGGAAAGTTATAATCAAAGTAGCTTTGCATAATATATTGAGGGATACCAATAGAGATATATAAAATTTGAGGCATAGCAATGTTTGACAAAAAAACTAAAAAAGCTGTTATTTACATTTTGCGTCGCTTGGTGGCGGAACGTTAATGTGGGGTTTTATAGGATAAAATACTTTTTGAAGACTTCTTCCAAAAATTGGAAAAAAAACATGTTTTATTATATTATTAATAATTGTATGACAGTATCTGTCAGCATTTTTTCCAATTTGCCGGCGGCAAAATTTGACAGCTGTTGTCACCAAACATTACAATACCTTTGATAACAAGTACTTATGGTCTCCTAGGACACCAGAAAACGACGCTAAACTGTTTTGTTTACGTGCGAATTGTGGACAGGATATATAAATGATTAAAAATTTGATAACAATTAGTAAAAATACTAATTTGCATAAATCATGAACACCACCAGTCTTATTGTTTTGCTTGCTCTTGCACGTATATATAATGGGATTATTTAACAGAATCACCTTTGGCTTTTTGGCAAACATTGCTACCCTTCAAATTTTATATATCTCCGTTGGTATTCCTCAATATTTTATTCAAAACTCCATTTTTTTATAACATCCTAGCAAAATCTTCAGATGAGCTGGCAACATTGCAATCCAGGTGACAATAATGACAAGGTCAACTGTCAAGGCGCATGTCTATCCCGGGGTACTGACGGAGTGATTTAGGACGTCAAAGCGGCAATTTTCATTTTTTAAGTGTTGTGCAACGATTTCGAGAAAAAATTTGCTAGGGATAGTCTTCTATAGTAGAGTATATCTGAACAGTCGTCTTGCGTGGCCATGTCATCTTTACTCGGGCCGGCATTATTATACGAAGAGTTGCATGTAGCTTTCTGCATAATCTGGCCACTATGTCGGAGCAAAAAATGGCGGCTTGTCATAAGTCAATCGTGTTGCCCTATGGATAGCACGGAAGTGTACCTTCTTCAGCTTACATGTTTTGCGCCCACGTTTTTTCCCGGTGTGATCGTGATCGTGATAAAACATGTGAATGTGATCATGTTTGCATTTAAACAGATTACCTGCATTTTTTCAAGTCCAAAACATGTGGAATTTGTACAGATATACAGAAAACTGTCCACAAAACAGTTTCCGGTAGTGTCCACCTTGAAGCGTTATGCAAAATTCGCGGAACCCTCTGCAATTTTACGAAACCTAAGTACCCATGACACAATATCATCCATACAAATTAAAAAGAGGCCTGTACGCAAGAAAAAAGTCATAGAAGAAGAAGAACGGATACCGGGAATTTATAATGTAGTGGCCTACTCAACAGCAGAAGAATACAATCTAAACAGTTTACTAACGGGTCTGACTGAACAGGATTTGTACGAACCCAGGACTATAGAAAATAACGTGGATGTTGTACATGCTGTCGCAAAGTACAGGGTAGGGAAGGAACCCAGAGAAATATTTTTTTTCAGAGAAGGTATGCCTTTAAACCTGTATGCACTTTTTTCACATGGTTATAATTATAACACATGATCAGAGATCAAATCAACTTTGGTTTGTTTGTTATTGTCAAAGTCAAAAACAATTGAGAAGCAAAACATACAAAAATAATATATAGATATTCTATCATATGGTTTTTTAAACACACACCAAAAGCCTCAAAAATCTAAATCTAGCTTCCCTGGGTACTGAGGTCTATACTCAACACCCACTATTTACAAATATCCTGAACCCTAACAAAACCTTTTAGAGCAAATGAGTAGTTAAATACAAGATACCATACACTTATACACTTCAGAAGTGTGTGGACTTAGATAGATCTAGATTTTTTTAATCTATATTGACTTGTAGGTAGTGTAGTACTATGGAACATAACAGACCTAGAAAGTAGTAATATTCTTACCTTTCTTAGGCAATTTGAAGAGGACAGTTATTCAGAAAGGCTTGTTCAGAATGAAAGTGAAGTTATGAATTACAAATATCACACAGATGAAATGTGAGTACCTCAATCTACTCATATATTTGCAATAAAAATGACTGAATGAATTTTAGGGAGAGTAGTTGCTTAGATAAAGATGGAAACTTTGCACTTGCTCTTAACAAAGACTTGACATTGGATAAGTATACATTTTCAAATGCTATGATGTTGTCAGTTAAACTAGGAATATGGGAAGCTTCTTTAGAAAAATATATTGATGAGATAGAGTTTGTAACTGATGATTTGAAAAGGTAAGATATTATTACTTTCAGAACTAACAGATTAGTTACTTATGGGGATTAATAATGATCTATCCTAAATACTTAGTTTAAAAATAAGGCATTACAGTTAAAATTTCTCTGTGACAGATGATACAAAATTGATGATATGTCTGAAATACTTCGCACTTTATAAAAAATTGAGGCATGAAGATGATTGCCCCTCTTAGCGCAAATACAATGCACATGATATCTTTTTTATTAAAAAATTTAGATATATGGATATTTATTATGTTGAGGAAAACACTTTTTTGTAGAGGCAATAAGATAAAAATGACAAGGCAGGAAGTCCTTAGGAAACATGGTGAACTTTTTGCTTTGAGGCACTACTTGAATCTGAGCTCAGATGTTCTGGATACACCAGACTTTTACTGGGAGAAAGAAGAGCTTGGAGTGTTGTATGGACAAGTTTGCTCATATTTCTCCATTGGAAAGAGAACTAAGGTATGTTAGAGTACTTATTTGTGCATATGACTTGTATCACATGATAGTGTCTCTTGACAATGCTGCTTCTTTCTGACATCATTGTTGAGGGACATTGTTGCACAATATAAATGCTCAGAAAACTAGTATTCACACAGAGAACAGGGAATTACAGATTTTATGGTCAACATTTTTTAAATCTCACTGTTTTCTGGCCATTTAATGACAATAATTTGTACTTTGAAAATGGCCGCCAAGGTTTCATTCAACAGCAAGGAAACATGGAGACTGATCAACATGAAAACCACAGGATAGGTTTCAGGTGTTACATTTATCAGTTTTTGGTTTTAAAGGCAAGTTAAAATAGGGTACTATGGGAGTAATTCTGTATAAAATATTTGGTCCAATTATTTTGTCTTATGTAAAACGTCTCATTTCATTCATATTATTCATTATGATTCATTATTTGTAGCCAGGAATCAATATTAAACAGACTAGCAGGTAGTGACATTGATTAACGTTATTATACCCAAAAGTAAGCAACTGTATTCTAGTGTCCAAAAAGAATTCTGAAATATCTTAGTGCCACCTATGAGACACTAGCAGAACACACATTATTTTAGAATTGTTTAGTTCTGATACTGCCTCATAGCTGGCGCTAGGCTCTTCCACTCTTTTTGGCGATTCTCCAATTCCTATTTTAGCATAAAGTAATTCTTTTCAAAGTGGATTTCTTAATTTTGTTTTTGTGTTCTGCCACTGACTCATACAGTGAGATTGAAATGTTTCTGTCGCCGATAACGAGAGAGAAGCGTAAAGTATGAATGTTTGAATCAGTGCTAGGATGGCGTCCGTGGTCTCCTCGCTCGGTTGCTAGGCAACGAGATGCTTCTATCTCTTTCTAACACATGTATTGCACGCTTCTCTCTCGTACTCAATATGACGTCAATGGTATTTGTTTTTCAGTGTATATGCGCTAGGATATTTTAGGTCCCTTCTGGTAGAATATGTTTATCTATGGTAGTGGTAGTCCCATAAAATAGACTATTGATCGCGAATGAGAATAAGGAGTTTTAAAAATACCCATATACAAATTTTAATTGATTATTTTATTTATGCTTAGTCCTGTAGTGTCACTAGGATAAGGTGTAATGGTTCTCATTCTTCAGTCTGATTCAGATATCTTGAAAATCCCAGGACATGAAATGAGATTTGTCTGGATTATTCCCTAGTAATGTCGAAATGAGCTTGCATTGTGTCCTCCCTCATGCATAACATCTATCAATATTATATTAGAAATGTTGTTATGAGGGCATTTTTATTTTATTTTACAGGTGATGAACGAGAAAATCAATCACTGTGTAGCTCTGATAGAACTTCTCTCCGACCATCTAAGTGACAAGCATCACATTAGACTTGAATGGATGATAATAGTTCTTATCATGGTAGAAGTGTTCTTTGAACTGTTACATTACATAGACAAATATGCGAGCAGCGATGTTTTAGATCATGAGAACGAATTGAAACACTCGACGTGAACAACGTCGATATCGAATAATTATATACTGTGGGTGATAATTATTATTTGTACAGGATTTTTATTTACGAGTATGCCAAAAATACAAATGTAGTTCTATTAGTTAAGGACTTTGTTTTTTTATACTTAAATAAACAGTAGCAGGTGTAGTTTCTGCAAAAACAATTTTTATAGTTTTTTTTCAATCAGCTTCCGACACAGTTATTTGGTATAGACAACCTGGGCTCGGTGGTTAGCGCGTCCATCTAGCAACCCGGGGCTCGTGAGTACGAATCTCGGAAGTTAAATCCTTGCCTTGGATGTTGTGTTATCTACCTGGACACCTACAGAAGAAAAAGGAAAATTATTTTATTGCATTTGTACTACAATAATTATAGAATTGATAACGTTATAATGACAAATTGCAAGTCATATTAGATCCAATTGCAACTAGTTTGTACTTTGTCGCTCTACAGCAGTAAGGCTGCTATTTGCGCTCGCTCCGTGAAAAATGTCAGTCTTGCGTGCTCGACTGCAAAGCTAGCTAACGTTGCTCCGGTTAATAGTATTATTAGTATTTATTCTTATTGTTTGATTAGTTTAAATTTACCGGTACCGGCAATATCAACTTTTGATTGGCAGAGGTGAACGTACGGTTCAAGCCATTTATTGGATGTCAAATAAGCCCTTGCTGACAAAGTGGACTAGAAGGAGATAGAAAATACGGAACAGCGACGTTGCCAGATATAATTATAATTATTTAGATCCAAGAATCCTGTCAGATAACGTTTTTATACCAGTTCTCGATATACAAGAAGATAGAAAAGTGAACAGAAGTGAGCGACAATTTAGGCATGTGAACAGTACTACAGACTGATACTTGACCATCTACAGAGTAAGCAGACGTAGGTGGCGAAAAGTACGTCCTCCTAGCTTTGGACACGTGCTATGAAAATCCATTTTTATTACCTGGTGGAATGTCAGCGTCACCTGACAAAAACATTTTGTACCGGCATGTCGCAAAAATCAATATATTTAGCATGTGAGCAAATGGGTATCACTTACCTGTATGTAAATAGTCTATATGAACATTTCCCTTACGAATGATTCTTAGAACGTTCGTCAGGAGAATATGTGAACGATATGTTCTGAGGACGTCATTTATTAGGACATCTCGTTTAGCATCTAAAACGTAGCTACATTCGAAGAATGTGAATATACCTTTTAATGTTTGCTAGACATTATTCCTTCGGAGATCTGAACTAGATAAGTTACTCGCAACGCTCAACTGCCCACTCGACACTGTTCAACAACTGTACACCCTCTCGAGTATCACGTATCTTGAAAAGTGATATTACGCCGATTTTTTTTGACATTATGCTGTTTTTTTGATATATAGGTTTTTGCCAAGACGTTGACTTAGCACTTAGTTGTACGTGTTGCCTAAACGTCATGAGGCTTGTTATCAATCTTTAGCTCTGATGTGATATAAAATCTGCTTCTGAGATGGCATTACTGGAGGTCTAACCTGTAAGTTGTATGTGTTGATGATAATTACATTGGGTTCTTGTCTCAAATACGCTTAATTGAGATTCAAAGCTAGAAATTAGTTGCGCATCCACTTTTTCTTATCCATTCTGGAAATTACACATACAAATTTGCTGAATTTCAAAAATTAGAGAGATAAGAAATAATTATATTCACTGTACACTGTCCAATTACAAGCCATATACATGCTAACGCGGGCGCGGTGATGATTTCCCGTAACTCTCCTCAGTTTTTCGTAATTTATAACTTTGAACATAACCTCTCTTCAGAAGGCACAACATATAAATGACCCGTCATATTCAGTAATGATTTTCTCACACAGCAAATATCACTAATTTTATACACATGCAGACCTATACACGTAATCATCCAGATGCGATCTTGCTATTCAACCAACGTTCTTCTCAGAGATAAAAACTACAGACACGGATCACTCAGCCTCACAAAACTATGCAACCAATAATGCGTGTAGTTTAGTTGAGTGATTCCTTCATAGATGGACGTTCACAACGATCCTACTGAGCAAACGTGGAATGACTCTTTGCGCCCTAAAAACTACCTAGTCTGCAAGTTTTTTTTTTTACGTTTTGTAGGTATTTTACATGATACCCGTGCCCCTATGTGTATAGCCATGCTCAACATAAATCGACTACCTGATTACCGTTTTCGCAAGCCATTACTGGACGCCCAGCACCAAAATAATGTTATACTGATTTATAATCTCTCCCTAGCATACTGTACATTTTAATGGATACTTGAAACTTTCCTTGTGCAACTGTGGTTGCCTATGGTTTTGCGAACATTTGGAGATGATTGAAGCAGTTGAGAAAAATACGCGAGACATCCGGCAACGTCGCCTAAAAGACAACATGCAGGAAGGGGAGTAGGGTGCGCCGAAAGTCCTAAAAACATGTTTTGTGTGTTGTGCAAGAAATATATTTTTCTTTGACCGTTCTCCCAAATCCTGAAACAAAGTGCGATACAAGAATCAATCGTATCCATGGCAGTACGGTACGACAACGCTATTTTTCTAATACTAAGCTGAATACGTCCCCGCAAGTGGAAGTGAGTGAACCCGTTCAAAATGGCGCATCAAATGCCCCCGTCCGTGAACTGTTCGCTAGATGATATCGACTTGACAGCACTGAAAGTAAGTAAATTTTTACAAATAACAAATACGCAACGGCCCTCATTTGCTTCAAGTCTTAAAATTCCAGCCTAGCGAGTCCAAAAAACTCGTTGTAAACATGACATTTGGGTGTGAATCATCTGCTTTCTTGTTTTCCCTAACTGTATTTTTCCTGTTTGCAGGACCCAGCAGGAATATTCGAGTTGATTGAAGTCGTAGGGAATGGGACCTATGGACAAGTTTACAAGGTGAGTGAATTCCGAGTGGTACTCTTTAAATTTTCATTGATGTCTGATGTATGTGTCATCTGGTTTGTTTCTTGGAGACAATGAAGGATGGTATTTAATCACTGGATTAATTGGATTAAAACGGTTTATAATTGATCCGTTTTACGTGATAATGCTGCTATTAATGATTTACCTATTTTTGCTTTTAAGGATAGTGGAATACCTGAATTTGGGAGTACTAAATTCATGCAAAAAATGAGTTTTTGTCTTTTATCACTTGAATATAACTACATATAAAGAAAGAAAATTTGAATTTTGTTTTTCAATAATGCTTATGAACATGCAAATATTGTATAACCCAGCCTTAAGTTACATAAAAACAAAAACTGATATTAAAGATATTTTATTAGAAATACCTGTCTAGCATCAAAATTAGAGAAAAATGCATCATAAGAAATTTGTACTTCATTAAATATGATAATGGGTTATAGGCAGTTAACAAGTACAGAATTAAAATATATTGAATTAATATAGCATAGTGTAGATGTGGCTTCAGAATAAAATATTTTTTAAACATTGTTAACAATTTTCTGCAGGTATGCTAATATCAGAACCACATAATATTTTGTACATCTATTTTAGTGTTATGCTGAGTTTCACATTAAAAACAAACAGTTCTCTCAGTTTACCTAGGTAGCTTGTTTGGGATATACAAATAATTATTTTGAAACTTAAGACAGTTTTGAACCTTGGTATGTTGTAACAAGGGTTTGTACAACAAAATTTAATACTGTTTTATTTACAGTCTGCAAAACCATTGCATGTCATCTCTTGCAGTTGCAAGATGACATTGTTTTGTCTGCAAAACAATTGTATCACTTGCAAGACAGCTCCATTTCCTTTATTCTAATGAGCAAGGCTAGCTAACCTAAACAAATTAAATATCCACATTCCTAACCTATAATTTTGGTTTTTTACCCTTGAGAAAACATGGTTTTAATGTTCTGAAACTTGTTTCGATCATTGGCATCCAACATCAAAACAATGAAATTTGAGTCTATAAAGAAATTAACCACAGAAACCACCAGACCAGTTTCAAAAAATTACAGGAAGAAGCAGCTGTTTCGTTATGGCACATGTATCTGATCAACATTTCTCTTGCTCTTGTTGATTACTGTAAATTGGGTATAACAGAGTCCCAACAAGAGTTTATTTTTAAAAGTCATTTTAAGGGCCATCATTCGATAATGAAATAGTTTGGTTTTCCTGGAGCCTTAAATGTGTGCCAATTCAGGAAAATACAATATGGCCTTGAAATAATTCTGAAGGTCAAGGTTGTATTTGTGTACAAGAACATTTATTATTAAAATGTGACACAATTTTTCTATTTCAGTTTTTATACAAGCATATTTTCAAGTTATATGGTGTGTAGATATTCAGTCCTTTAAAGTGACCTTGAGTCAAAGTCATTCTACAAGACACTGATTTTCATAACTAATAATTAAAACATATTAATGTGTAAAGGAATAGCATTTTGAAGAATTTATTGTGATATTCACACAATCATAATTATATGCAGCCATAAAATTAACTAAGTGAACTATCAAGTGGAAATGGTTATCACTCTGTCCATCTATTCATATCTGCTAAAAATTCATTACCAGGACATCCCCAATGTCTGCTATACAAATAGATATTTTTAAATCTTTTATTTGCTAATATTTTATTGAACACAGGTCTCTCAAAAATCATTTGATATATGTAGTTCATAGATGGAATAAAAATAATGTTTATATGGACTATTTGAATTTATTTCAATTCCTTATAATTGAAATTAATTGCTTTTAAATGGCCTAATTGTTTGACGTAATAAACAATAAATCATTAATTGGAATACATCCAGTCATGTTTCTAAACAATATTCAAGAGTCTGACGCAAAAAAGAATTTATCCAAGCAATTCATATCAGTTTCAATTCTCAAGAGTCATTGAATCATCAGATTGGTTCACCTAGTGAATGAAACTGTTCCTAGGAACACTATAATTCATATTTTGAAGAAGGACTATCCCAAAAAGTCTATGAAATCAAACTAAACTATTTGTACCAGTTTTAATTTCTAATAGTCGAGATTAATAGTCACTGAGTCATTTAAAGTGGTTTATATAGTAGTATATAAAACATTTCATAGGAATACCTTAAGTGATGTTTCCAAGTATTATGCTTTAGTAAATTATGTTATCAAAAGATTTGTCATTTACAAAGAGGATCCATTAGTCACTATTCCTAATTAGTTAAATTGCAGAGATAAGTTGTGATTTTACTTACCTGTAAGAATACAGGTGTGTCAGATGATATTGAAGAGTTCTGACAGTCACAAATATGTTTCAAATAACCTATATGATTGATTTCTTATGATTTAAATGTCAATATTAACATTCACATATTTGCTATTTGTGATCACTAAAACTCTCTTATGGGGTGGTGAAATGTTATGGTTTAGAGAAATTTGCCACATAAGGCTATTTTCAAGAACATAGTTTCCTTTTTGAAAAAAAAAATAGAGACAGTTTTTCACCATTCTCACTTTCCCACGCCCACTGGCGGGAAATTTTCGGAAATGAGATATTATGTTTTTTGGATGTCATATGACATGTACAGGGTTTGTCCTGAGTCGATTTAAAAAAAATTATTGAGCCAATCGTTACAATGCTTTAAAAACTAGGCAGCCGCGGTGGCCCCAGTAGTAGACTATTCGGTCTCCTGATCAGCCGCCGTGCGCTGTGCGGGTTCGAGTCCCGTCCCAGGAGAAATTTTTCTCTTGGCTATGGATGTTGTGATTGTCCGTAGGTGGTAGACAGTCTCTGTCGAACGCGGAGGTACCACCCGACGGATCTCGTAGGCGGAGCCAGAATGTGTGCATGTTGCATGCACACGTGTTCCCTCGCCAGAGTCCGTGTAGCGTTCCCCCTTTCCCATGTATCCCCCTATAGCCCCACAGTACCCAATAGGTGCTTAGGCCTTAGGCCTTTGTGGTAGTTCGAGTATAAAAAAAATTCCCCCATTGAGCACGTGTGGAATATGATGGGTAGGAGATTGCTCAATTTGCAACGTCCTCCTCAGACTCTAGAAGCACTTCGAGAGGAGTTGGTGGTTGCCTGGAATGAGATACCACAGGAGGACATTGACCACCTGATCAGAAGCATGCCTAGGCGCGTTGGAGAATGCGTAGCACATCAGGGTGCATCCACCCATTATTAAAGGTCAAAGGGCTTTAAAACAAAATTTTATTAAAATAAAACCATTTAAACTGGGTGTTCGGATTTATATGTCACTTAGTATATTTACAGTCATTGTCGTGGTGTACTAGTGATAAATGTCGGAAAAACGCGGGGAAAAAGTGGTGCATCTATTTTACGCATGTCTACCCATATTGCATCCCCAGACAATGCCACTGTAGCTGTGTTATGGATGACAATGAGAAAAAAATGCTATTGTTTGAATAGGCCACAGATGGAATAACGACCGAGTGGGAATTCTTAAATGGGACAAACTTGTGGGGGGGTGGTAAATCAACAGATTCGCCTTCGTGTGGCTAGAATGTTCAATAGATCAGATTACATAATAATAATTGATCGTCATTATTTAGGGTAAAGTTCAGTTTGTAGCTATCCTGTTACTTAACCCTTAACAAAAAGAAAATATACGAGGGCGGTCCGATAAGGACTTAGCTTCACCGCACGATGGCGCGCCTATGGCAAGATAAATTTACTACTACATTCTCGTAGACAGGTGATGTCAAAATTTCAGCAGAATCGGACTCGTCTTGTTTTGACCGCGTGTGGGCCGCTTCGACGCCGAATTGTAGAAAAAATGGCCGCATTTTGGCGAATAAAAAAATGCTCTTCCACCATGACAATGCACAGGCTCCGCCACGGCCACATTGGTCGAATTAGGCTACGAAATACTGCCGTATTCTCCAGATTTGGCCCTGGGCGACTTTTTTTTTGTTTTAAAACTTGAAAAAGTCGCTCGCCGGACAGAAATTCGAGTCGAATGAGGAGGTTATCGCTGCCACGGAGGCCTACTTTGCAGACCTCCAGAAAGCGTATTTTTCAGACGGTTTAAAGAAGATAAAGCATCGCTGCCGGAGACTATGTTGAGAAATAAATCGCACTTTTCCAAAATTTTCGTTTTTATTTTATATATATATATATACATATAAAAACAATAAAATATGAAAATTATAGTATAGTATATATATCCCTATATAATACTATATTATTATTCAGGCTGAACATTGTTCCGAGAATCAAATAAAACAACCAACATCGTTTTCGGATTGGATCTTCATTTTTTCGACTTTTTTGTTCTCGGTTCTCCTGCTTGCTTCCACTCCATGCCTTGAGATTTCAGCTCCTCGTCGAATTCATAGTTTTATACATATTTTCCGGATAAACCATGTACAGGGTTTGTCCGGAAAGTAATAGGACTCATTTTCTTCCGCCATGACTGTACTTCGGAGTGTGCGCGCACCGACTGGATTCGGTAGAGGGCGTTCCTAGCTAACGAATGAGCGTTGAGCGCTGAGCGGCTGGTCAGTTGTCTCCGAGCACTTGGGGAGTCAGGACAGTCAATTTCGTGCGACGTGTTTCTGTGAGTGGTGCAAGCCGAAAATGCAGCGTTCGTTAGAGCAGAGGTACGCGATTAAATTCTGTGTGAAACTCGGTAAATCTGCGACAGAGACGTTTGATATGATCAAGCAGGCTTACCCAGGTGTTGCTTTAGCAAGAAGTGGTGTGTTTCGGAGGCACCAGGCCTTTTTGGAGGGCCGGGAAGAGGTCGCTGATGAAGATCGTGCTGGAAGACCTTCGACAAACACCGATAATGTGACTTGTGTGCGCAAAGTTTTGAACTCAGACCGTCGACTAAGTATTAGTTTAATTGCCCAGATGTTAAATTTAGCAAAATCTGTGGTTCATGACATTGTGACACAGCATTTGAACATGTGCAAGGTGTGCGC